GCATTGTGGGAAATCAAAACAGGATCTCCCAGTGCCAGCAAGGAATAAGGTGATCCACCAGACCCATTTGCCCGGGCTCCACTAACACTTGGGGATGGCCATGTCTTAGAATAATATTATGCTACTTTCTCCTTGCTGGGGTGGCTAACCGCGGGCCTTCAGACTGTCAAACATCCTTGGAAGTGGTCACTTCAGACCTCTGCCAAGTATGATTTATCCTTGTAGGCCACTGGGGGAGAGAAAGAGAGAAGATGGTGACAGAGAGGGAAGGAAAAGGACTAAAGTAGTTATGGAACAATGTGAAGTTATGTGAAGATATACAAGGTGTGGGCTTGCCCACTTTTGGCTTTGGCCTGTCCAGTGTTAACATGCAGGATTACTCCCAAGGAATGTAGCCCTTGGCAGAAAAAAAGAAGATTTTATCTCCCGGCTCTAAGCCAAGAATCCATAGGATACTGAACTTTCTCTTCCATACTTGCCAAATTGATAGCTTTCTTGTAGAAAGAAGAGTATCAAACAATGCCCACTAGAAAGGCCAACTTTCAGACTGTAAGCTAACCTCACTCCTCATTTGCCCACATAGCGGCTTACTATTATGAGGCATAACAGTACTATCTGAGTAGTAGTGTTACTACCTGAAGCATTTATTTAACACTTGCAATTCTCCACTCATGGTTGTTTATGGGTTCTTTAAGGGACATTATCACCCTTCCGACTTGCTTCTTTTTAAACAGCACTTTTAGCAAGTGTTTCTAGAGCAGGGAGGGCACAGTATTATTTGTGAAAGCAAAAAGAAGCAGCAGCTTTTTCCCACTTACATAATTTTACTATTCTGCTATACCACAGCGCCACCTAAAGGTGATGTGGTAGAAAAACAGAAAATGAAATAGACCCCAGAATCCAGAGAGCTGCTGCTAATCAGATATACGTCATTCATTTATTCATTCATTCATTCATTGCATTTGTATGCCATCCCATAGCTGAAGGCTCTCTGGACAGCTCACAATGCGATACAAATATATATAAAATACAGATGAAATAAATAGCAAACAAACCATAAAACATAGTAAAATACAATATAAATAATGGGGGACCTTGTGGTCCCAGTATCAGTGGGGAGGGGTATCCATTCCAGTTTCAGTCTGAACTTTTAAGGAGCTATCCAGGATGCTATCCCAAAATAGATTCTAATTAGCTGGTGCAGGCATAAGATTCTAATTAGCTGGTGCAGTTGTCAGCTTTTTGTCTAAACATGCCCAGAATTGCATCTTTCATGGACTTAATTCATAGAACTCATGAGTTCTACTCATCTTAAATAGTACAGTGGTAGCTCGGTTCACAAACGCCTTGGGTCATGAACAAATCGGGTCACAAACAAAAATTTTGACTTGGGTCGCAAACTCCCTTTGGGTGGTGACCAAGATTGCAGCCATCTTCCCCCCACCCGCTCCCCCGAGTGGGGAGATGGCCATGATCGCAGCTGCTTTCGTGCAGGGAAGGCATGCATGATAAGAGGCGCGCTGCTGCAGGAAAGACAGGTGCAGCACAGTAGAGCCGCGGGGGAGATAGCCGAGATTGCGCCTGTCTTTCCTGCAGGAGCGTGCCTCTGATCCCGCATGCCTTTCCTGCACGAATGAGACTGTGATCATGGCCATCACCCCACCCCCGAGTGGGGAGATGGCCGTGGTCGTTCTGGGAGGGGGGGGAGATTGCCAAGATTGTGCCCATCTCTCCCTCCCCCAGTGTGGTTTGTGCCCGTCTCTTTCTTCACCAGTGCATCCACGATCACACCCATCTCTCCCCCTCACCCCCCAGCACGCCGGGATGATGAGCACCTGTAGGGATGACAGGTGTATGCAGGGATGACAGGTGTGATCTCAGTCATGCTGGGGGGGGGGACACAGGGAGATGGCTGCACTTGTCTTTGGGGTGGGAGGGGGAGATGGCCACGATCTTTGTTGTTGTCACTTTGCTTCACATTTTTCTGATTTAAAAATGGTTACAGAACAGATTAACCTTATTTCCATTGAACCTTATGGGGAAATTTAACTTGACTCACGACCAATTAGGGTCACAACCAGAGTCCTGGAATGGATTAGGCTTGTGAGCCAAGGTACCACTGTACTGAAGAAGCTTTCATTCATTCATCATACTAAGCATTCCAATAGGTTTGTGGTAACCTGCATATTAAAAAAGGGACAGGAATCCGGGCCTCAAAAATGGTATGTTCAAAATGCTTTTGTACTCTTCCCAATTGTCATCTGCTCTGTCTTGTAAAAAGTGTCATATTCTCTTGCAAGGTGATAAGTTGTCTGTGTACAGCTAAGCAACAGTCGTACTGCAAACGGTTGAGGAACCACATTTCTAGGAATCTGACCCAAAATAACTTTTCTGTGTTTTGTGAACCCTTTTTTTACAACTTTCAGGAATTGTGCACAAATTACAACAAAAAGGTCAACGCTGATGTAAAACACATCGATGTATGCAACGTATTAAAATATCTCTGCTCTGTCCTACAGCCTGTGAATAGCACGAATATACCAAATTTTGCGTAAAGTTCTGTAAATTGTGGCAGATGGCACACTTTTTGAAAGTAAGTGAAAAATCTGATGGAACAGTTGATGCCTAACCATCACCAAAACACACACCCAGCAGCTGGAACAAAATCTGCACATCACTGGGGAGGATTTGATGCTCTAATGCAAAATGTACAGTCATGAGGCAGCTACAGAACAACAATGCCTGAAGTTCAACATCTGACAGACGTTGTAAATTCAAAAAGCTCTTTTATGTGACTTAAAATACAAGTGCCAAAACAGCCAAGTTTTCCTCACCTTGGTGCCTTCCAGATATTTCAGACCACAGTTCCCAGCATTCTTGACCACTGCCGAAAATAACTGGAGTGCATGAGGTTGAAGAAGCCTGATTTAAATACATTGCTTTTCTTATGTGTTTTACAGCTGCCCTCCCTTGGACACTGGAGTAATTCCACTATACATAAATAAAGATACTCAAGATTTTGTGAACAGAGCAATGAGATTACACCATTAAGCCTGGCTTGTTGGCTGTGAGCTTTGCTCCTGCATGACCTCTTTGAATTGCAGTTGGGCCCACGTCTGAGAGGAGCTTGTGAGCAGAACACTCCTATAAATAGATCATCCAGCAATGTGATTGATTGCAGTCACATTCATTCTACCATGCGCATGTGCGTGTGTATAAAGCCCCTTAATATTTAGACTGAAGAAAAAGGGAGGTTGTTTTTCAACTGCCTTTGTTCCAATTCTATTTCTGTTATCAATACCATACTTATCTGCAACGTTGAGGCCTAGAAACTTATTTTTCTATAAAAATCTTGTTGTAACATTGACACAGGCTGCATATAATTGTCACAGAGGTGATGGGCAATTTATGTAGCATATCTGTATTATTTATAGGAAAACCACAAAAAAACTTTATTTATGGTATTAAGTTCTGCACTTGAAGGGATTCGTGCATTAAGCATTGGTTTGTACTGTTTGTTTTCCATACTCTGTGCATTTGCACATAGATATGGAGGATCATGTGCTCTATTGTCTAGCTTTCTTTGGAAGCCTATTACTGGGCGCAATTGGAGCTGCTCTCTCCATTGCGGTGCATAAGACTTTGGCTATTCTTATGCCCAAATTCACTACTCCCTTTCCCTGTAGGATTCAGTGTAAATGCCTCCTGCAGAATTCCATCATGTCATGTTCTTGCGAATGCAACCCATCCCTTGTCAGCAACCCATCATCCAGAAAGCGTAGCCCAAATTCCCAGAATCCAAGTATTTCCTCTTGGCACCACCTTCCTAGGCAGGCATTCACCAAGAATATTTTTCTTTTCCTTTCCATTCACCTTCCAAGCACTGAGGATGGAGGAGAAGACTGCTGAGCCCCAAAGTCCTTGAGTTTCACAGTCAGTACTTGGATGTGCAAACACTGACTTCATCACATGTAGGTAATGCACATTTATGTCCTCTCAGCCATCATGGAAGGCAGGGGAAGATGTATGGAACTTCCCAGACTGTGTCCTATCCAGATACTGACCAGCTTAGAGCTCCTTAGTTTCACCAAGGAGGTAGTATCACCTGCTGCAGGACCATGCCCTTGGTCCACAGTCTAAGAATCTAAGTAACCCATGAAAGACAGCGATAATGGGTTACATGGCCCACAAAGTAGAATAATGCAGGAAATCTGCAAGCTTAAGGCTGGCTTAAATAGACCAAGGGTTGGTGCACTGGAAACTTGAGGGATCTATTTTGGTGTTTCCTTAGAAGTCTGGGATCCACAAGCTGGAGCCAAGTGGCCTCAAAAGTGTATTCCAGAAATCAGAAAAGTTCACCTCTGAGTACATCTTGGAGAGAAAAGAGACATGAATGTAAAGTCGTATCTAGCTGCCTCTTTTTTGTTCATTTTTACTCTAAAGTAGGTGCAGGGGACACATCTGGATCAGGGTCCTCTCAGGACAGACTGCTGGGCTTTCAGGGTTTGTTTGTTTTTGTTTTTCATTCATATCCCAGAACAGACACAAGGAAGCCAATCTGGATTAGCCCCCTCTCCATCTATCCTGGAGTAAAATAATTTAAAAAGACATAGCCACCAGCTACAGGTTGTACCCTAAGTTCCATTCATTTCAATGAGTTTCCTTTCAGATTCATACTGAAACAATCCTACATTTTTAAGTATAAAATCTGTTGGTCCTAAAGCCTAGAAGTGTTCTTAGAAGCAAAACCCATCTCACATTCCTTTCACACAAAATCCATTCCAGATCTCCATCACCACCACACCACGGCTTCTTAATTTCAGCAGCTTTTTTTTTGGGGGGGGGGGTGGATACTATTGTTTTTAGGAACTGCTGTAAATCACTAGGACATCTACTAACATCCCAATCTCCCTTCTGAGCACTTGCACACACGAGGGTGAACACACAGTGTGGACAAAACAAAGTCTTCTGACTTAGTAGCAATACAAACTCGGACACACTTTGTAGCAGAAAGCATTTTAGGGTTTATTTTTATTTAAATAAAAATTATAATTTATACCAAGGCCCCCACCCCTCCCATTTTTCTTAAACAAACAAGATTCTCTTAAAAAATGTACAGGGCAAATTGTCTCAGTTCAATTTTTCATACAGTACAAGTCTCCTGTCGAACAAAAGTTACACTGCTAATGAATTATTTACAACTTCAAAATATAGACTCAAACTTCAGACATAAAAATTATTTCACACCCATTCTATTTAATGATTAGTAGCAGAAATAAAACATCTGCCGCAATGTACATTATTCATTATAAACTACCAGGTTGGTTTGTTTTCAGGGTTCACAATGCGTACACACCTGTTCCCTCCAAGCTTCCTCACTCCATCTATAGAGCTCATGAACTGGTTTTGCTGGAAATTTGTGTGATGTTGCTACATAATTCACTTATAGGTCAAATTTTGCCTCATGAAACTAACAGTGTACTTACATGTGACAGAACTTCTGCTTCTGGCAATTTAAAGAGGGAACGTACAACGTGATCAGTTTTCATCTGCCTTTATGCTGAGAAAGGTTCTCCAACTTGACCACTATTCTTCAGTAAAAGAAGTTATTCCGTTAAATACAAAGAGAATTCACCAGTAAGCCACAGGTCGAATAACCACATATCAACACAGCAAATTTATGGAGAATTGCTTTAAAAATGCTGTTTAAAAAATAACACTTCACATTAAGTAGCACTACTGAAGTTAAATTCAGTAGGGCTATACCTCAAATCCCATGTAAGGACATGAATCCGAACCAAACTCCATGACTATGGAATAGGCTGACTGAAGCTAAGCATTTCAGGATATAGGAAATAAAATACATTCAGGTACTCAAGCACTTCCTAATTACGTCGAGGGCATTGTAACAAATAACATAACACAAAACATAGCAATTAATTTTACAGTAGTCCTTTGCATAATGTAGTTGGATTTTGCAAAAATATGTATGCCTGTCTTAGTATACATTTGCTTTCTAAAAATCCAGTTCATTAACTTGATATTGGAATGAACTATCTTTGCATTGTAGTTTGCAACACATGTTCTACCTTCACTTTTACCTTTTAATGTTTGCATTGCTGAAAGTGCAGATTATTTTGAACAAATTTGTACTAGTAATATCAAAGCTGGGGGGGAATCTAAATACATCATTTAGATTATTGGTTATATGTAATGATATCTTTATTGTTTCTTTCCGAAAAGGGACGCAGGTAATTGTGGCACTACCATCACATCACAGAAAGGACTTCAAGGAACCACATTCCAGAACAATACTTCGGTCGGTCAGTAGGGGGAGGAGGTAAGACGTGCTGTTACCCGATTTTCACCTGAACCAGATTTTTCATGATCAGAGTGAAGATAAAAATTACATTTGAAAATGATACAAAAATAAGAAAAACAGCCCACTCTGTAAAAAATATAATCTGTTTCTCAAAAAACGAGAACCTCATGAACACCCAAGGGGTTTTTTTAAAAGACAAACTTGATGTACTATGGTTCTGATTTAGCTTAGTAAAAACATTAAGCTAATTTAATGCTTATTTATCCTTCAGCTACTCTTCTTTACTTGCTGGGTTGATGCTTGACAAAGTCCTTATATAAAGAAGTCCAGTCACTATTAAGTAGCCCCATGTTCCTTAAACATGTTCAAAAATGTCTGTAGGCTACTTGCTTCAAAATATATATAAATCACAAATTATCTTGTTTTAAAAAATGAAGCTGCATTGTTTAGGGAAGCACACACATTGCTATTACTGGAACATTTTCCTTTTACACTGTGGAAAGTATGAGAGGCTTCTACTGAGCCTTTCAAATACAGACTCTACTGAAAGTAAACTTCACGTGTGCTTTCCTTGTTTGGGGAAGAGGGGGATTTTCTCAGTGCATGGAAATCCGTTTCTAAAATCCTTTTGGTATTACTTTCCTCACAAATGTAGTCATGGTTTGTCCTAAATCATAAAGCAGGTGAGGAAGTAGTTTTCCATCCTCGATACAGACCCATGTTGACAGAAGCCCTTTTTCCTATGGCATCATGCATTGTTACTAAGATTACCTGACCAACTAATTCCACATTGCATGCAAATTGATGCAACAGAGGCCTGCCAGCCAATTTCTACGCAAGAGATACAAGCTTTTGGATGGAGCAATTGGGAGCAGGGCAACTAGGGCAGGAGCTGAATCCATTTCCACCACAAATCTACATCACTCCCAGTGGGATTCCAGTCATATTTTTACCCTTGCAAACAAATGACCATAAATGCAGTGCAAGAGCAGCTGGGGAGGTAATCTGAAGGCTTCGGGAACTGGCAAGTGCAGAAAGGGTCAGAGATCCCAACATTGCTTCTTTGCTCAAAACTGCACACTCTGAAGCTCCACTTGCTCTTAAAAATAACATAGTCCACTGACACTCCATTACTTGCATTTGCACAGAACATGAGGTCAGGACCTGAAGTTCTGCGAGTCCTTTTTATTTTTTCTTGATTAAAGCTTCCAAATTCAAAGCTTGTTATAGTGAAAGGCAGAGATAGGGTCTGCAAGAAGCAAAAACGATCAGAAACAGAAAATCAATTGGCATGGTTGCAGAAATGCCAAATGTACTAAAATAAGAAGACAAAGGCAGAGATAATTACACAAATTGTGGTGCTAATTCAGCGAAGAAACCTGCATGCCTAGGTGAGCTTTTACAATGCAAAAGATACAAATGTTTACAACTTAAGAACCCCCTCAATATATCAAATATTTCAAAGAAATAACAAAGGATCTTGGTGATACTGTGAAGACAGCATAATGCCACTGTATTATTTCAACATAAGAATAGTAACAACAACAACAACAATTCCTTGAAGTGAAGGTGTGCCACAAACAATGCAAATCATTCAAAAGGTGTTGCTGAAAACAGTGGCTTCACACATTGTGCCAGCAAAGTGCTTCTATATGAGTGGCACACAGGAGGAAGATGGAAAATGAAGGAATGGGCCAACCCTCTGTACGAAGTTTATTCCTCGCAACAGTCTTCCAAAGGTACACATCCTTCAAAAGGTACAGCAATGAATACAAAAGCCTGCTTGAAGCACAACTGCTTGTACTCATACCTTCAATTCATATTTTTTAGATCTCAGCTAGTAAGATAAAAGGTATCTTGAAAGCACGTTACCATTAACCTGTGTAACCAGACCAGGTTGCAGCCTTGCCCCCTGCCCCCCCCGTTGCATGCACAGAAATGCCACTGAAATCGGTAAGACTGGCACATAGTTCCGAACGCAGAACCTGCAGCAGAAGAGGAAGAGAATGTACCGTTGCACCCTGGGATTTCAGGGCGGAAGAAGACAGCTTCATTGGTCTATCCTCAAGCTCGGTTCACCAAGTATCTTCCTAAGCTTTTTAATGTCAATAAAGAAGCATTAAAAGTGCTTAATGTGCAAGGCTAATAGTGATGATAGCACTTTCACTGTCTTTTTCTTTTTTCTTTTTTACAAAAAGCCTTAAAAAACAACAAAAATGAAAGGCATATATAAAATACATTTATGTAACATAAGACATATGCAATGAAGAAAATTATTGCAGAATTGATGAAGGGTGTTCCACCTTTTATTCACTACCAAGCGAGTAAATTCATGAAGTCGCCCCAGGAGAACCAGCAGTGGTGATATACTAGCTTTCACTGGTGGACGCTGCAGATGTTATCTTCGCATACTGGGTGAAAATGGTCTCAAAAGCTTCATCCCTGTGCACCATGGCACCAAACACCAAAGGCTGTGTGGAGGGGGAACGCAAAAACAATTACAATGTGGAAATCCATAGGTGCATTGGTTACAACTGGCAGCACAATCCAGAAATCCAGGACTAAGTTCCATATGATCATTATTTCTTTATTTAAAATGGGTCTTCCCCACTTCAGCCACAAAGGAGCTAAAGGCTCCTGGAGTGGCTTATAGATAATGTAAGAAAAATCCAATTAAATAGTCCCTGCCCTCAGACTTGAAAAGACAGACAAAGAAAGAAAAAGGAGGAAGGAGTGGGGGGGGGGGAGGGAGCAAACTCAGCTCTTTAATCAAAGTGTTCTTATAACAATCAAGTGAGATAGAAAAAGTTTAGCATGAGAAGTAACCAAAAAGGGTTGTTCTCTTAGCAGAGCTGACTGATTAGCTCTTCTTACCATCCCTCCCTCTGCTGCAGCCTGATGGAAAGGGTTCAATGGGGCTTATTCGGAGAAATGATGCCTAGTTGTTATTATATTCCTTCAAATATACTAACCTCCCATATCACCAAACCTCTTCCCTCACTACCAGCAAAACGTACCAAGTTAACTTAATATTCAATTTCTCTTTTTTATCAACACTTACTCCTGATTTTTTTAACATGAGAAACACAACAATGAAAAATTAAACATTTTGCCTTGTGATGAAAACTATGAACATATTACCATACTGCAAATTCCTGCACAGGTGATTGCTGCACTCAATAAACCGTATAGAAAAATATTCCTATTGCTCACGCTAAAGGGCCCCAAAAGCTGACAAGGTCACCATAACATTTATATTTCAGGTAAAAGCACATTTGATACTGTGGGCATTTAGCAGCAAAGTTTTTAAACTGGACTACTTACTTTTTGTGTAGATGGTGTGGATACTGCAATACCCATTCCAGATCCTGGGAGAACAGAGAGCACTTTGTACTGAAACATACAAAAAGGACGAGGGAGTAAGGAACAGGGTTACCTGCTGAACAATCACACTTGTGAAGGTGACATGGAAAAGTTTATATCTGAAACACTGAGAATCGGAAAAACAATATCCTATTACAAAAACTATCCTAAGCAGTAAAGGGATTAATATAAAAACAGTGTGCTAGGATCTATGATGGCCTAGAAACATGCTGTGAAGGCCAGACAGAGGTAATTAGACCCACATTCCAGAATGGTTGCTTTTGTTGTGGAGGTGAAGGAGTGGAGCAAGAAGGTGCTCGCCAAGAGACGAGTTGCCTGTTGTCAAGGGGAAGGGCAGAAGCGCCTGTTCCTCAGCTAAAGCTGTACAAGGGGTCTTAGCCCAGTGTTAGACCACTGACTTTCCATCCAGAAGATCCCAGGTCATCCCCAGAGAGGGCAACAAAAGCTTCTGTCTGAAATCCTGCTGAGAGACAGTGTCCGTTCCACAGAGGGGCTGTGCCCAAGTGGAGACTCAGTCATAGGACTCCGGACAGACTTTGAAAAAGTCACAGTAGCTGGGTGACAGCTGCTGAATGCACAGCCTGAAGACTGGAGATGGTTTGTCCTCTGATCCAGAACATGCCTGCCTGCCATATCCACAAAGCTATGTATAATGCCAACCAGATATTTAGTGTATTAACTCTAAAGAATTCCATCAGTATTACAATTTAATGGTACTAACTACTGAAAGCATGAAGCATTTGCAAAGCAGAAGCTGAATGCTACAGGGACCAAATCAACAGAAAATAAATCAGTTTCTCTCTGATGTAGAGATTTTATACAAAATAAGAAAACTTGGAACCCCTCCATCCACCCTCCCAAGCACCATTGTGTAGCATCTCAGGTAAATCAATGAAGCTACAGCAATAGCAGATTATTACATCAAAGTCAGGCCAGCCTTTCTACTGTTTCTATCAAAGATTCATAAAAATGTTGAACTTTCCACCACAAACAAGATTCATTGTTTGGGAAATGTCAGAGATTCTGTACACATCAATAAAAAGGCACTTAGAGAACACGAGGATGAGTGGATACTGCCAGGTAAACAATACAATTTGCAAAGGAGAGCAATTTGCAAAATACAAAAATTTAATTTGAGCTGCTACAAAATGTCCTGTTTTTCACTGTTCAGTCTCTCAGGCAGCCTGCAGCCTCCTCAGCTTCCCACACTTCAATTAAAGCCCAGGAAGATGACATGAGGTCAGTGGGCTTTTACCAATCAGGAAGTACAGGTAGCCTGGGAGGCTTCAGGGCAATGGAGAGATCCATGAAAGAAAAATACACACACAGCACTGCTGGCCACCTCACAGGGGATCAGGTATGCTCAAACACACCACCCAAATGAATGAAAAATACATTATAAAATGCTCTGAGAATGAGACAGAAAAAGCAGGAGCTTAAGAAAACTGAGCAATTCAGGCACAGCTCCACCTCTTCCTAGAGCAGGATGCCGTGGCTACATTGGGATAGATGCAAAACTGGGCCTGGCCTGCCGACCCAACTGGTGCATTTCAGCGCCAGCGCAAAGAACTGCAAACATCCTTAGGGAAAAAAGCAAGAGAGGTGGCCCTAATTTTGACAAACTGTTGAAAATCTCTCCTCTTCCTAGAAAAATGTGGAGATACTGTCCCCCCACCCTTTTACCCACAAGTTCTCTGCCCAAAACAGCGTGCAGAATTCTGAGAGGCTTTAGTTGTAATGCTCTCAAGTCTCACAATTGTTTTTTAATCTTTATCTACTGTATTTCTTTTTTTTGTCACCTGCCTCAAATTTTCTGGAAGGATGGAATATAAATATTTTGTATGAAATAAAACACTTCCTTTTGGAGATGAAGAGTGTACATCATACCTTAACCCCAATTTTTAAAAAAATCTAATCTAAGGTAAACCAGAATGGTATGATAGAGATTCCTTATTCTAATTTAATTTGGAGAGGGCAGTCCTCTCCAAATTAAGCATTTTTAAGACCTACTTGGTTTTAGTGAAGAAATATATTCAATTTTCTACATAAATGTGCGAGACCTGAGCTCAGTTTGGCTTTACTCTGTCTCTTAGTACTATCAAAACATGTAAATTAACCACTCAATGTATATCTTTTCATATGGAAGCTTTAACCACGAACTGACAGATGTTCATCTTATAAAAAATTAAATGTGAAACAACAAAGAAAACTCAAACATCATGGACATACCTTTTGAATATCTGTAATATCTGTTAGTTTTATAACTTTGTTCCTTTTCGATGAACCAGATTTGGAACTTTCGAAGCATAAGTAACTTAAGAAAAAGAGAAGAAAGAATGTATATGTTATAATTATAGTCATTTGAAAACCAGAATGATTCCAAACTCTGCCACTGCTTTGGGTTTTGAAAAGGTATGTTTTTTCTGGGATTCACCTCCCCACTCTCCTGAAAAATCCTTTTCCATTCTAATAAACTGCAAGCTGCTCTGCCCTATGGAAAGTCTTTTGATTTATAAATACACAAAACTGTAAAACTTCTGAACTGTAAAATCCACTGAATATACACCTGCATGCACCTACCTGGACCCTAAGGTCATCCATTGAGGTCCTTTTCCAGGAGCCACTTTTAAAATAAGTTAAGAGGGTGGACACAAGGGAAAGGGCCTTCTTAACTGTGGCACCCCAGTAATGGGATCAGCACCCCAGGGAGGGATGCCTGCTGCCAACACTATACAGTGGTACCTTGGCTCACAAACACGTCAGCTCACAACCAAATCAGGTAGCAAACAGAGATTTCTGAAAAAATTTGCCTCAGGTCGTGAACTCCGCATCAGGTGATGATCGCGATTGCACCTGTTTCCCCGCCCCCAAGCACACCCGCAATTGTGCCCATCTCCCCCCCAAGCCCGCCCCCGATCACGCCCATCTCCCCCCCCCCCCCGAGGTTGCACTTGTGCAGGGAACATGGGTGCAATCTGGGAGTGGGGGGGGGGAGATGGCAGCGATCTTTGTTGTTCTTTGTCACTTTGCTTTAAATTTTTGTGATTAAAAAAATAGTTACAGAACGGTTTAACCTTATTTACACTGATACTTATGGGGAAGTTTTACTTGGCTCATGACCAATTTGGGTCACGACCAGAGTCCTGGAACGGATTACGTTCAGGAGCCAAGGTACCACTGTATATGTTTCAGTGTCAGATTAAATCCTTTTTATTGTTCTGTTATTTTAATTGTTAAGCATGATTATCTGATTTTATATTGGACTGGTACATGTGGATTGTTGCCAATTTTTGCTATGTATTGTTTATTTTTAATTATCATTATGCTGGTGGACATTTGAATGGCTGCAGAGATATTTTATGATAGGATTGTTTTTTATTGTTGCTTGTTGATATTGTATAATAATTTTATCTGGTTTTATTGGAAACTGTTCTGCGAGCCCCGTGCAAATGAATGGTATGTAAAATTTAAATAAAAATTAATGAATATTTGCATAGAAAAGGCACCAAAACAGGTTATTCTAGAGATGCACAGGGATTCCCTTGGTTTTATTCCTTAGTGGAATTTTGACTCCTCTTCTTTGGTGCAAGATCATAAGATGCCAGGGTTGTACACTAGCACCTCCTTTCCACATGCATCCTGACTCCTTTCTGCATTGCAAACCAAAACCAAACCCAGTTTGTTATCCGTGGATAGGTGAGTGAGGCAGAAGCAAGTGAGGCTGCCCTGTCTGACTGAGTTTAACAACCCAGGGCTCTTTGTCCCAGAGTTATTCATCATGTCATGGGAACTGGGAATAGAGGTTGCTGGGGAAGGAATAACACAGACTTCCAACCTAAGAACAAGTCAATCCACTGTCTTTAACCTCTGCTTTAGCATTTGTTTTGCAATGGATTTTTGGGATCCCACTGCCCCCAGCCTTATAATTTACAAAAGCAAGACAAATATTTCCAGTGCGTTCATTCTTTCTGTGTGCACTATTCCACTGTAAACCATGCAAAAACTTACTTTTCTGTAACATAAAGCACGCCGTTTCTAATGTAGTCCGTGGGCATCTTTCTGTCCCTGTTAATCAAGCAGCATCGCCAGCCATTTTCACACACTGCCAAAATAATAGAATCACATTTCACACAAACCTAAGAAATTAAAGTGCAGCTCTTCAAATGGGCAAGCAATCAGCATGCTCCAGAATTAGATTATTTCAGAAGGTGGAAACCAAGATGTACTTTGGACTTTGTATTGATACATCTTTCCTTTTAGCACCCCAAAAGCCAGCAACCCCAAAATCTCAAAGTGCATACAAAGCTTTGCTAAACACTACAGTATTTGTTTCAAGCACTGGGTTAAGTTACTTCTCTCACAGGGATTATGCACCTTTTCCCCCTCTCAAATTCCTGCTTCCACAAAGGGCAGACCAAGCTACAGGCATCAAATTCACTCTGAGAATCTTACAGATGTCAGATAAAAGATTAATTTGCCCTCCTGCTCATAGAACTCAGCAGGTAACATTTCAGAACAGCTCATTTGTGAATTCTACGTAATTCTTTTTCAAATATGCCTCCATTTAGAGGCAACAGCAAAGTACCTGCCAAAGGACGCTCGTTTTCAGACAGATTAAACACTTCATGGAAGTTGCCTCTCTTCGTAGTATGGAAACGGCTGCTGTCTTCATCCCTGCTTACTCCTGTTGGGGCACCTGAACCTACACAACTTCGCGATGTTGCGGTTTGAAGCTGTAAGGAATTAAAACTAGATTACTGTTAATGTACAGCCAGCAGCAGAGAGTTTAATGTTTTAATGCTTCTCCTTTTCCTAGGAAAACATCCTGCCTTTGCTCTTCAGGACGGGCAACCACTGCTAGAAAACTGAGGGCCAAGACAGCTTACAGGTTTTGACCTGTTCATGTCGCCACCTGCTTGGGACTGGTATTTCCTCCTATCACTAGCATTCAGAAATGCCATGTAGTGACATGCTATCCAGACTAGGCTACTTCTTCCTGCAAGTAGGTGGAAAAGCATTGCAACTCTCTGCACCTAGAGAGCTAGCACATTTTGAAGAGATGCCCCAGGAAATATCGAATATGGGAACTGAAGCATAAAAAGATGTGATTTTTCTACCTATGGCTATACCATGTCATTATTCAGTATATAGCTATACAGAATAACTACTTTGATGGCTTTTCAGCAGATGTGAAAGATAACAAGTCAATAAAGAATAAGAATTATATTAGTAATAAGATGTTGTATCCAAAGTAGAAGGGGGCTTTCCACCTGTTTGTTCCAGTGGAAGTCTTGTGAATAACCCAATACCTCCCCCAAGTTTGAGTACTTTCTTGCACAGCACCCCCTGAGGTGTGAAGGAAGTACCACCAGAAAGGAAAATCAGTGATCTGGGCAACATTCCAGAAGGAGCTGAAAGACATCAGTTAAACAGCGTTCTTCCCAACCAAGCTCAAGAAAACAAGAGATCAACTACTGCAAAATGTGGAAAGTAGATAGCAGAATCATTGATATTTTTTTCAGAAGTACAGAGTAGCTTCTATTATAAGCTATTCTGATAGGCTGGATTGAAGAACAGGGTATAAATCATAAATTACAAAATGACTCTGTTTCCATGGAGTTCTTTTGCCATCCAGGCACTAACCAGGCTGTGTTCTGCTCAAGTTTTCAGAATGTAACATACCCTCAGACCATTATTAGGTTGTTTCCTTGGCATATTGCCCCAACCTAACTCTAAGGAATGTCATCTATATGCTGAGATTTTTCTAACTACTTAGCATTTTAAAAGAGGGACGGCTTTGGGGTGGCATAACTCCCAATTAAATAAATTATACCTGAATGTTTAATTGTGTTAAGCTCTATAGATGTTCATGCTTAACTTGTCTGGAATTCATTGCTATTTTTCAAGCACTAGTAAAATTACAATGGAGAATTAGGATATGACAAATATTCTCCAGCAGCAGAACAGCTGAACATACTATTAGACTACTGCAATGTTATACTTTAGAACACTTTTTCAGCCCCTGGCCACACTACTGAATTTCGTGGCATGGCATGGCTGGAAAAAAAGTAAAAAAAAGCATGTGAGGAGTGGTTTTCCAGTTATGGGACAGCAGTGTTGTACCTAAGATGGGTACAACCTTCCCCGGCTTTAGATAAAATCTCCTTCCACATTTGCATGTTCTAAAAGACAACTAAAACAACATATCTTTTCAGCAAGCATTTCAAAGGACTCTCTGGGAAATATTACAGTACACCATTCAGGATTAATCAGCTAGTAGGAATTCTCCCAGGAGCAACATTTTATCACACATCTCCAAGAGACTTCAAATTCAAACCAAGGCTATTTAATACATGTAACACAGAGAGAAAGAACAGTTAACTCAATGCACAGGCTTGCACACACAGAAGAAGTGTCAGCTCATTATGAACACAAATGATCCAATTACAAGAAAAAAAGTGTTCCACGCTAAGATTCGTACCTTTTCATGCCCTGACAGCTAGCAGGAAAAGAAAAAACAAACAAACACAAATGTGACAGTGACAAAAGAAAAAAGCAAAATCTATTTAACTATATCAAATACAGAATAAAAACATGAATTGAATGAAGTTGCAAAGATCTTTCTCACATACCAAGAGACTACACACAGTGACTGCAATCTTTAAGAAAACCCAAATGTATCAGTGGCTGGAGCACACCTTTATAGTTCATTAAAATTAGAATCTTCTCACTAAATTTCCCATATCTGGCTCCTGACCTGTCTTTCACAAGTTAATGTTTTTTAGAAACCTCTCTATTTAAAGCAAGATGGCTAAAATATTAAAAGATAAATAAAAAGATATTATTCTTCCTTAAACACATGCATGTATTTTAAGAGATGTTTAGAGGAACAAAGATATCTTACAGAGGATCTCTTTATTATTTTACACTTTTACTCTCAAAAGAGACATCTACTCAACCATGGGTTCAAACTGTGATTTGTCCCCCAACAACCCAGACCTCTGGGTTTGGATGTCATTATTAAAGAACCCAGGGACAGGCTGTCACTGAGTTGTTTATCTCAGTGGGACAGGATGGGCAGGAAGCAGCATGTTTGTTCTGACTCCATTTTAAACAACCTTATGGTTAGCAAACTATGGGTTTCTGATAACAGGAAATCCAGTTAATGACCTAGAGTTCACACATCACAACAAGCCTCTTAATCCTCAAAGTACTGTGGAATGTGCTGGCTGCCATTTTGAATAAGCATGCCATGGCTGGCAGTTGCCAGGCCTTGTCTTGTCATTTGAACACAGCTGGCAAAGATTATGCACAAGTTAAACAATATTCTCACAATCCTAGAATAGACCATGAATTCTGCAAGGATTGTTTAATCTCCAAACAAACTTTCCTATCCATGTTTGAACAACATCACAAGACTTAGCAACTGGTGACCGGAGTCACATATTCAAATTGGTGGCCAGCACACACTGTAGAGGCCCATGGTGGCTGGTCATCACATGGAAATGAAATTAATGCCTTCCTCTTACCCATACTATGGCCAGAATACATGGGATAGCCGTTTGCAGCCTTGGAGTTCTGCTGTATCAACCTGCTAATTGGTGATTACGATGAACGTTGGGTGTGTCTCTAGGCCAGGTTATGATTACTGAGGATCCATATAGTGTTAGAGACTATAGGAGTCCTTTTTGCTGTGTTCTTTATTCACAGGCTAGTGACTAAATTTTGCCGATGCAAGCATTGGCAGCACAAGCCCAGGACTACAGATTCAGGCTGTTACACTTCATAAATGAGCACTATTTTTAATTCTTTTCATGAGCTTCTGATCAGATATAACATATTACACAATTCAATGGGTTTATTAATTCTTTCAAAGGGAAGCACATTTCATTTTTCTAAAAACTACAAACACAATTCCAGAAATGACGTTGTTCTGCTTTAACAGCTTCCAAGACTGCAACACAACTGATTACTTTAAGAGCATGAAATATCTACATTTGAGGGTTTTGGTTTTTGGATGAGGGGGGTAAATGTGTCAAACTTCCAGGTTCTACAGAAAGGTATACTTTGCATCCAAGGCTTTGATAACTAGTCCTCCCACTATGTGCTCTAGTCACTGAAATCACATGGATATTGCTCAGCAGAGGTACAAAAAGACAGGAATGCACCTTACCCTTCTTGATACTGTAGCATTAGCCCTTTCTTTGAGCTGAGGATCGGTGGGCAAGTTTAGCCATATAATATAAGGAGTGTCATACTTTGCTCGTAACCTCGGGCACCGTTTGAAGACGAAGTCAATAAGAAAAAATTTGATTCCTGCATAAAGGCCTACAGAGTAAAAAAGACAAAAATGGTATCAGGAAAGTGTTGTGCAACCACACATTTAAAATCATTGCAGCGTATCAGTCAGTGTCCCAAAGTGCTTTGCCTACTCCAACCAGTTTTACCCACTCACCAAGGCAGGCGTTATTTTATGTTTCATTTATCTCACATCTTTCCTCCAAGGAGCCCAAGGAAGTGTACATTCTCTGTCCCCTCTCCATTCTATTCCTTTCACAGCAGCTCTATGAGGCAGGTTGGGCTGACATCGATGAGTGGCCCGAAGTCACCCATGGCTCAGTGGTGGCTAAGAGAGGCTCTGATGACAACAGCTCACTGGCGTTGGTGTTCTGCATTGGACACAGGCCAAGGTGCCAGACAGCTGCAAAGATGCACACGGTGGACCCATTCGCTTGTTCACCAGAGCCCACTCCGGGTGGTCATACCATTCCACTGCTGCAAATGTGTGTTGCTAGCTCATTTAACAAACCATCCGCAAACCATCGTACAAAACTTTTTAAAATATTACATTTCTATCCCACCTTTCTTATTCTTGCAAGGGACTCAAATTGGCTCACAAGGTTCTTCTACATTTTATCCTCGCAACAATCCTGTGAGGTAGGTTAAGCTGAGTCAGTGGCTGTTCCAGTGAGCTTCATGGCCAAATGGAGACTAGAACCCAAAGCACAATTAACCACTGCACTGCACTGGCCGGTCTTCAACAGGCCAAACTCAATTGTAGGTTTTTTCTAAATTTGTTGCACTGTTGTCTACACTTTAATTTTTTTCTATATTCTAGTACCCCTTCAGATTGAACTTGCAATATTTAAGCAATCTGTCTTTGTAACTAACCAATTCTACCATAGCCAGTAGTATGTCCCCAACTAAACTCTTTTCGGAAAATTTTACATCTGTCTACATCTGTGTCAATAATTAGATAATAAAAAATAGATGTGATGGCTATTGGGGAAAATCCAAAAGTTTGTCATAGCCTTCTCTAAGATTAAAGGAACTTCCATATGGGCAGCAGAGCTCCCACATGGCATGCTGCCAAATAGGGCTTCTTCAAAAACCAGGGGCATTTTTAAGAACAATCTTTTGGATCACATAAGAAGCTGTGGTTGGAAAAAAAAATCTGAAAAAATTCTGCATGAATGTGGATTCAGTGACACTGAATGTGGATTCAGTGATATTGTTATTAAATTGCACAATAATAGCCTAACCTTTTTCCTCTTGTGAGGAACAAAAAGCATCTTACAAAGTCTTCTCTGTTCTATTTTTATCCTCACAACAACCCTGTGAGGCAGGTTAGAGGCTGAGCATGAGAGACCGCCTCAAAGCTATGCATTGAGTTTGTGGCCAAGTGAAGACTAGGCCTTCCCAGGGCCCCAGTCCACCACTTGAACCACCACCCCACGCCGGTTCCCTGGATCGGATTTCAAACCTGTGCTGCCTGGAGGCACAGTGAACTCTGAAGGCAAACACCTCTGCTACTCATGTATGCACACCTATCATTCTGCAGCTTTCAACTCAAGACAGCACCGGAAATGTGTGGCATTTGAAGGGGCATGTGGTGCTACAAAAGCTCCATCAGCACTATCCAACCTGAAATTGCTGCTTCACACATGCGATCATTAGGTGGCATTGCAAATCTTTCCTTCCACATGACCACATCATGCAGAAGATGAGGCAATGCCACAGCTGTTGACCCACCCTTGTACCCTCTGTGTGTGTGTGTGTGTGTGTGTGTGGTGCATCACACCAAACTCCAAATCATGGAGCAAGCCCGTGCATGTAGAACAGGCTCCCTTTGTCACATTCCCCACATGCACAGCGGAGGAACAGAAAATTTCACTCATCTTCTACCCAAGCCTATCACCGTACAGGCATTTTTGAAGCAAGCCCTGTTGCCCATAATAAAAAAAGGTTCCTTTTCAAGCCAGATGTGTAATTTTTAAAGTGAAGAAGTGTGCTTCAGCTTTACCCAGTGAAAGCCCAATGATCCGGTATGGAATGCAGCAGGAAGCGATGAAAGCTGCCCACAAAGCAATGTACAGCTTTTGCGTAACTTCAGGCTGGACCCACATAAACAAGCTGATAAAGGAAGAAAAAGAACAGGACACATTAGCTGCCACAGCATTTCGTTCTCCTACATTTCAAGTAGGTGCAAAATCATTCTTTATTAGGAAGAGATATATAAAACAAACTTACTTTTTAATTTTTTCCAGTATGTCTGACATTTTGCCAAACAAGTTCTGTAAAATGAGAGCCAGAAAGAAAGGGAGTATAAGCATATGTATGTTGTCTCAATGTAAATCGCACTGAAGTCCTGATGGGTGCTCACTTTCTGCATAACATCATTTAAAAGCATCACCAACGCTCCAGTCTTTCTCTAGCTTAACCACTCCAGAGAAGGTGGAGAATCCTTATCATGGAAATGATACCTTTAAAGCCACGACAAACAGACAATTATATTTTCCCTCATTCCTTGACATTTATGACCTATTAACTATAGGGCACCTAGAAAGAAATTACAGAACCCTCTTAAAACAAGGGATAATTTGACATTTTGTTGCAGGCATAAAAACCATAGAAAACTTATTTCTGAAACATTGGTTTCATTGTATCAGTGAAAATGACTGCTTATGTACAGACACGCACAGGGTAAACTGGTGCACCTCAGTGCAAAATATTCCAAATTCACAGAAATGCTGATGGCCCCCAGGCCAGCCTAAAACCATACATAATTCTTACCTGCCAAATTGCTCAGTTTATGCCTCTGAGCTGCACCAGGGAATGTTGTAAATCAGGCAGTCATGCATTTGCAAGTCAAAGGCCTCAGGCACCAAGGGCAGAGTTTGCTTCCTACCAAGGTCCCTCAGGTTTTTGAGTTTTGTTTTAAGTTGAATGTCTTGCATGATACTCTGGAACTGAGCAGCCACAGATTAAGCCTGGAGGTAGTGAGTCTAAAAGGGCACGTGTTAGAGAATGGTCCAGATGACCTGAGGCACACATTTGTTGCTAAAACAATAGAAGTTTGGCTCTCTAAACTGACTAGATGGAGGTGAAACCACTTGGGAACAATATATAAGCAACTTCAAACAATTTGGATAATGCAAGGGGTATACATGTTAAATAAATAAAATGCCTTAATAAATTCATTTCTGTATTGCCCAACATCTGACATTCTCTGAACAGAGATAAAATTAAAATATAGCATGAAATATAGATGCAATAAAATGCAGCACAATATTTCATTATACAAAAATTTAAAACAATTTAAACTAAAACAGTGTCAATAAAAAACAAAACCTGTTAAAACCTGTTTAGCTGAACCTGTTAAAACAGCTGACATGTATAATCATAATCATAGGACATTAAACACCTGGGAGAAGAGGCCAGTCTTAACCAGCCAAATAGAAATTCAGTGTCGGTGCCACACAGGCCTCAAGTAGGCAGATCACTGCCAATCACGAGGCCACCAGTGAGAAGGTCCTCTCCTTTGTTGCAACCCTCTGGTCCTTTCTTGGAGATAGCAATAATCTTAGTGAAGGAACTGGAGCTGTCATTTCCAACAACCAGGAGATAGGAAAATGCAAAGGTGTGGGGGCAGAGTTACCAACTGTGCTGTTAGTATTAATATGCAGTTCTGGATATAAATTCATTAGGCCAGAGGTGGAGAAATTGCAACCCTCCATGCATTTTGACCTACAACTCCCATAATTCCCTAGGCAGGCTTGGCTAGGGTGGCTAAGGTTCAAGGGAGTTGTAGGCTGAAACATCTGGAGAGTCACAAGTTGCCTATCCCCATATTAGGGTATGGATAAAACCAGGAGAGAGAGGAGTCTTGTTTCACCAATTATCAGTCACAAAGCAAGCATAATCTGAACAAGATTATGTTTTAAGATTTGAGATTTTAATTACTGGGCTGGTTTGGACAGAACCCCAGCACAGTTTAGTCCCAAGGGGTCTCCCTAGGGCGTCCTCCCCACACTCTACTTGCTCACAAGGAAATGCTCAGAACTTGTTGTTGTTGTTGTTGTTGTTGTTGTTAGCAACAAACTTCCATGTCATCCAAAACCAAACTATGGATAATTTTGTCTATGGGCTGCAGAAATAAGCCAACTTGTGAACCACAGCTTATGAAGCTCACTCTTTGATTACTCATAGTTAAGATTAACCACATTTTACAGTTCAGATGATACACTAGTCTGCCGATAGTAAGCTAAAATGGAAGTTTCCAACCTCCTCTTCAATGCCAACCAACACTGTGTTGGGAATAAGGGTGGTGGTTGTTCTTGGCATGCACTTGTGGGTCATTCCAATTTGGATTCCAAGGCAGAGGAGTAAGGAGATGAGTTGGATGGAGCTGGGGAACATGTGGCTCAAGACTCGAGATGCCAGAAGTGCAACTTATGTCAAGACCACTCTCTTCAAGCTGCACAGTTGTTGAATTGGGCATGAGGAGGAGCTCTCAGAGTCAGACAAACCTGATAGGACTCTTGACCCATGATGTGGCCTCAGGAAAGGGAGAAATGCCAATTAGAGGAGAGATGTACGGAAAGAACTGAATGGCTCACTTTCAAACAGACCATTCAGAAGGGATCGGGTCCAGACATACTCAAAAGTAGTTGCTTAGACTGGGTTCATCAAACTGCTCTGTGTATGCACAGGGATAGATTCTGTGAGGGTTGTGTTGTTGGGTGTCCGTTGGTGAACAAAGAGCTTTTGCACAGAAACATTCTGTTGCCTTGAATGTGCAAAGGGAGGAAAACTTGGCTCACAACAACTTGGCACATATTATCAGCTCCCTAATGATCCAGTGTGATGCATGTGAAGCTGTCTTTAAATAAGCTGGACCATTTTTCCATCTAGCCCAGTGCTAGGATAGACTTTTGCGGACAGCAGCTTTCCAACAGAGATCAATCTCAGACCCCGTACCTGCAATCCCTTAATTGAAGGTGGCAGGGATATTATACCTGTGCTTTTTGTGCCACATCCAGAACAAGCTGGAATTTTTCTGACACTGTTAGGTCTTCCTTTGGAGGTTCCTGAAACAAGAGCAAACATTTGTCATCAGAAACTGAGTTTTCAGATTAGACATTTCCTTCACATTTTATGGACAGCCCAGGAAAAACACTCTACTCTTAATTTGCTGTATTCCAGCTAGGATTAATATTAACTCTGATTTACAGAAACAAGCCAGCTTCATCACATCTTGCCCATATTTGTATAAAGCTACTGTCCGTTAAACCGCGAGCAAAAGCTTCCACTCTCCTCCTGCCACACCAGAGAGGAAATCAAGGAGCACATGAGTCTCAGGGTCCAAACTCTTGTTCAGACATGAAGGTCACTTGCTGGGCCATCATGGACCAGTCACCTTCTCTAAGCCTAGTCTACTTCACATGATGGATTCAGGAATAAAAGTGATGCCTATAAGAAAACCGTAGGCAATCAGCTATTCAATCACCAAGATGTATTCTACATGAAGCTGCCTCTGAAGAGGGCTCAAACATGCTCAGAAACACCTACTTTACAGTCTCTCCACTTAAACACTGAAATGAGTGGTCTGCCATGTTGGCAAGAATCTACAGCAGGGGAAGGGGAGCTGAATGCAGTCTGCCCCTTCTTTGGAGCTCAGGTTGGTGGTAACAGGGGACTGCCTTCTGGTTGCAGGACTCTGCTTGCATCTTAGAAAGGCGCCTGCACTGATGCCTCTCCAGCATCAGCAAAGAATTTTTTATTTGCCCAGGCCTTTTTATTCTAATTTCATTTCAGCTAGCATGTGAACTGCTTTTTGCTCTGCCCTTCTGTTCCAGTCATTTTAAGTCGTTTTACCCTGTTTTGAATGGCTATTGATCTTGTTATCTTAATGTGAGTCACTCTAGGAATATACATACTGAAGAGTGGCAGATAAATGATTTAAGCTAAACCAAACCATGTACGTCACTGAGTGCCACCCGAAAGAGTGGGATAAAAACGTCACAAAATAATTAAATGAATGTTTTACAGGAGCATTTGTTTGGGCTGGTAGGGAGAACTTATAATCTTATTTTGCCTTGTATTCTTCAATCTTACACAAACATTTAAGCCTAGCTAGACAAGTGTATCTTGCCTATTTGAAAACATAAGCAAAAACACCCATTCTCTTCTCCACAACCATTCTAGAGAAGAAGGGACGGCACAGAAGCCCATTGGCCCATGAACATGAAATGAAACCATAGTCTAGAGCAAGTATGGGTAATTGTCAGGAGCCAGAGCAGTCTTCTGAATTTCAGTCTTAACAATGCATTGCTAGGTTAAAAAGTAAAAGTGGAAAGGCTAATGCACTCCCCTAGTTTACAGGTCCATCCAAAACAGGCTACAGAGTTAGTTAAGAGTTTGGAATAAAGAAAGTAAAGATTATACTTTTCACAATTTGCAATACTTGGAAAATATTGCTATTTAATGTTACTAAGTTAATAAAAGCTGATTGTATCAATTATAACAATAAGAAAGAAAAACACATATTCACAAACATGCTTTCAAAAAGAAAATATATGAAACAATCCACCGCAAAATTACTTGGACTTACAATAGGCTCAGAAACTTCAGGCACAATACTCCACTGTATTCTCCATCCTCTAAAAATGAATATATGCATATTTTTAAACAGAAAGACTCACTTTTCCACACGGCTCTATAACAACCGAATAAAAGTAATGCTTTAAAAAGGCAACTGTGTGGGTAGCAGACATTTTTCCAGATCTATTTTAATATCTCCCATAATCCACTCCCAGTTACCATACCATCCAGCCTTACAGAATCCTACAGTTGTGAATATTCAGGACTTTGCAGGAAATCAAGTAAATAATGCGCCTGCTTGAAATGAATCAAGCAGACACTTCATCAGCTATACAAAAGCATACATGAGAACATACTGAGCATAAGCACGTAAGAACCACCTGCTGGATCAGACCCAGGGCTCACCTAGCCTGGCGTTCTGCTTCACAAAGTGGCCGAGCAGCTGCCCAGAGGAAACCTACACACAGGTAAGAGTGCAACAAGCACCTTCCTACCCATGCTCCCCAGCAGCTGGCATACACAGCCGTACTGCCTCTGCTACTGGAGGTTGCGTATTGTCACCTGGATCAGTAGGCACTGACTGCCTACTCCTCCATGAATTTGTCCTGTCTCCTTTTAAAGCTGTCTAAATCGGTGTCCCTCACGACATCCGGTGAAAGTGCATTCCACTGTTTAACTATCTGAGGTGCATAGAAGTACTTCCTTTCATTTTTCTAAAGCTTCTGCCCATCAGCTTCATGGGATGACGCCAGGGTTCTAGTTTTATGGGAAAGGGAGAAACCTTTCTCCATTTCCACCTTCTCCACTGCATGTATAATTCTGTATACTTCCATCATGTCTCCCTTTACTTACCCTTTTCCCCCCTTATGTTGTGAATCCATAAGAATTCCCTTCATGTGCTCATCACAGAAAAGGAATTCCACGTGTACATAGGATGGTCCATGTAGGGCCACATAGGATAGGGAACCCTGCACAGCTGGGCTTTCCAGTCCCAGCAAGGTTTACATATACAGGTTTCTCCCTTGCAGATCCTGGATTAATCCAGGGACATCAGAAGTGGGGAAGCCACACAACTTTGGAGGTTGGGCCAGTTGGGGAGCCTCATGGCCCTCCTGTAGTCATGGACACCCTTTTGTGTAATGAATGCAGTAAATAGGCTAAGAAGCCCAGTGCATTGGTGGATGCTTATTGACTAAGTTTGAGCTCTTTCATTCCAAAAATGCCCCTTTAAAGGAGGCGGTAGCCCGACTGGTCCTGAAGAAGGCGTCACTGGATTCAGAGATGGCCGCTAATTATAGAGCAGTGGCCAACATCCCGTTTCTGGGCAAGGTGTTGGAGCGGGTGGTGGCGGGACAACTCCAAGCATTCTTGGATGAAACTGATTATCTGGGCCCATTTCAGACCCAGGTACGGTACTGAATCTGCCTTGGTTGCCCTGTACGATGACCTGTGCAGGGAGAAGGACAGGGGGAGTGCGTCCCTGTTGGTTCTCCTGGACCTCTCAGCGGCTTTCGATACCATCGACCATGGTATCCTTCTGGATAGGCTAGCGGGAGTGGGGGTCGGAGGCACTGCTTTGCAGTGGTTCTGCTCCTATCTCAATGGCCGATTCCAGAAGGTGGTGCTGGGGGACTATGGCTCTGCGCCATGGCAGCTATGCCATGGAGTACCGCAGGGATCCATTTTGCCCCCTTTGCTGTTTAACGTCTACATGAAACCACTGGGAGAGGTCATCAGGAGGTGTGGGCTGCGGAATCATCAGTACGCTGATGATACCCAGCTCTACCTCTCGTTCTCCACCAATCCAGGTGAGGCACTGGCTGTGCTGAACCGGTGCCTGGCCGAGGTAATGGGCTGGATGAGGGCCAATAAACTGAAGCTCAATCCAGACAAGACGGAGGTCCTGTTGGTTGGCGGACAGGGCTTCAGGAAAGGTGAATTGAACCTTGTCCTGAATGGGGTTGCATTCCCTCTTAGGGACAAGGTCCGCAGCTTGGGAGTACTCCTCGACCCAGAGCTTTCACTGGAAGCTCAGGTGACAGCAGTGGCAAGGAGCGCTTTCTCTCAGCTTCGGCTGATCCATCACCTGCACCCCTACCTGGAGTACGACTGCCTGGCGACAGTGACACACGCGTTGGTGACTTCCCGATTTGACTTCTGTAATGTGCTCTACGTGGGGCTGCCCTTGAAGACAGTCCGGATACTTTAATTGGTGCAAAATAGAGCTGCCAGGCTGCTGACGGGGACTGGGCGTTATGTTCACATGACTCCAGTTCTCCGTCAGCTTCACTGGCTTCCCATTGAAGTCCGGGTCCAATTCAAGGTGTTGGTTATGACCTATAAAGCCCTTAACGGCTTGGGTCCTGGTTACCTGAAGGAGCGTTTACGTCCATATATGCGCACCCGCCCCTTGAGATCAGCGGGAGAGGCCCTTCTCCGGGAACCCTCCGTGAAGAAAATTAGGAGGGTAAGTACTCGGAGGAGGGCTTTCTCTGCAGTGGCACCCAATCTATTGAATGCGCTCCCCAGAGAGGTCTGCCTGGCGCCGTCGTCGTTTTTTGGCGCCAGGCGAAGACCTTTTTATTCAAACGTTATTTTAATTGTTAATATTATTTATTTATTTATTTCATTCTTTGGCCAGAGCAACTTAAATTTTACTGTTATACTGCTAAATTATATTGTTTTATATTATGTTATTTATTTATGATTGTGAGCCGCCCCGAGGCTTCGGCAAATGGGGTGGCACAGAAGTCCTCTAAATAAATAAATAATAACAGCATTAGCATAAGGACTTTACAATACTTATAGAAATAAGTCATAATGTTTAAGGAACACAGTAAGGAGCTACTTATAACAACACATTTACAATGAAAATTCACTAGGAACAATGATTGATGATGGTGGGAGTTAAAGGATATTACAATTGTGCTGAATTTCATCTTCCCGGTATGTCTGAAAGAAGGCTTGAACACAAAAATACCCTTCCCAATACAAAAGGAAAGTGGTCCTTTTAAATAAAGAGGAAATGGAATGGATTTTCCTCTGCAAGGAAGTTTGAGAAATGGTTATCAGGATGACGACTGTACAGTGCATCTTGATTCAGCCAGATGTAAAATCAGAGATATTGGACCAAAGCCAGCACCAAAACAAAACAGTAAATCCCTGGTGTATTATGCTACCCAATCAAAATGGTTAGGACAGTGGCAGTGTCTAAAGGGTGGGGAATGGGCATTTCACATCATTGTCCCTCCAGTCACTGGAAACAGCCACGCACAGCAAACCATCCATCTGTCCATGTGAAAAGATGCTCCACACCCCAGGTCTTGGTACTATCTGTCCCTGAACAGCCCACCTCCAAGGGAGGGAGGGCAACTCTGCCCTTCACAGGGTAGCAGTGCAAACAGCTACACGGGCAGGAGCAGGATCTAAGCCAGGGATGTTGAATCATGCTCAGCCTGAGGCCCAAACTCAACTTTGGAGAAGGTCTTGGAAACCACATTCCACTGGGGGTGGGACCACAGACCAGAATACCAATGACAGCGGTTTATTTTAGTCCAAAGCAAGTCACTCTTGCTGCCAGTAACTCATAGGAAAGGCATGTCAACCTGTGTGTGTGTGTGTGTGTGTGTGTGTGTGTGTATGTGTGTGTGTGTGTGTGTGTGGTGATGCACAAAAGCCAAGAACAACCAAATGACTAGGGGTCAGGAAAAAGGGGGAGAGCCAGGGAAAGGGAGAGGATCAGATTTGGGAAGGCCACTTTTGCATAGCCCATTGAAGGTTGGTGTGCAATAATGTCAAATTGCCACCCCATCTCCAAAGCCTTTTTGAAATGAATTCTAAATATCTAGATTCTATTTTGCTTATTGCCAGCAGCCTTAAAGGCCTGCTGTCATAGAAACAGTCTAAATAAATACATAAAATGGAAAGCAAAGTGCCTTTTAGTTTATCTTAATTTCTGGATCCTTAGCATCCCAAAAGAGCCCTTCCTAGAATCATTTTTTTTAAATCTAAGTAAATAATTGACTCTTTTAAACAGGGAGATGGGAAATGAAATGTCTGTTAAAGACAAAATAATGAAAATGTCCTATATTCAGACAAGTTTCCTATATTTAAGGTAAGGAACATAAGAAACCAAGTTACAAACTCAGGATATTGTAAAGCAGAATGGTTACCTGGCTATGAGGTAATTTAGGGATAACCTCAAAATTGCTAAAAATAAGAACATAGGAATGGCCCAGCCATGCCATACTGCATTCATGTAGATCTACAGACGAAAGAAGAAACAAACATTACAAAACAAGTACTCAATATTTCAATACAACAGCAATGCAAAAAGGAATCTCTGAGCATATGAACAATGGTGGATATTAATCTGCTACTGCCTGTTCCCCTGCGGTTCTGGACTCTTACTCGGAAGTCACATTGTTAGTCAATGGGGTATATTCCCAAGTAACTGCATGTATGGGATTGTGGCTTTAATGAGCAAACCATCTATCAACAGAGTAATCTTATAGTTCTAATGTCTAGAGGATTGTTCAGATTTCCAGCTCTGAGGGCAGAAAATCATTCCAATCCTGCACCTGAGAAGCCATGTTCCCTGTCAACCCTTTTTATTTTAGTTGTGAATGTTTTCTGTAATGGTTTCTTCCACAGTGAACAAAATCATACTACATGTCTTTTCACATGATGGAGGACAGGCAACTTACAATAAAGGCAATAGCAGATGTGTAGATAGAATACCAGTCTGATAAGGCAGAAAGATTCTTCACAAAGTTTGTGACAGGTTTGGCACCTCTCTCTAGGTAAAAGAAAAAATTGATATATAGTTCAGACATTTAGCAGGGCTTTAAAGGATGCAAAACCACAACTTTTAAACTTGAAAGGCACACCGTGCGCGTCCCCACCCCACCCAAGACATTAAGTCTAAATTGTCAGTATCTCTTCATTTGGCTTCTATGTAGAACAGACCTATCAAAGCCATTAAGAAAATTCACATAAGTGTTGAGGGAGCTTACATGGTCACTCTTTCCATTTTATCCTCACAATCACCCTGTTACTGTCCCAAAGTCAATCAATAAGCTTCCTGCCCGAGTGGGGACTAGAACCCATGCCTCCAGAGTCCCAGTCCAAATGCTAACTGCTACACCATACCAACACCTTGTTTCCTCCTACTGCCAATTATCCAGCGATTTCCCGGCTTTTGGACATTTCCTCCACCCCCATTCTAAATAGTTGTTATGCCTCAATGAAGGCTTAGTTACTGTTAGGATTTTGGCACTGCCCCCTTTGCCTTCAGCCAATCCACTACTGGAATGTAGCCTCTGAAGGTTCTCTGATTTGAACTGAATTCAGCTGAAAGAGGTTCATCTCTTCTGTTATATATTTTCCTGCCCTCTCTATTTAGGCATGACCCTGAAGGAAACTAAGATAATTCACACAAATAGTCGTGCCCTTTGACTTATCATTAGTCACCAGCAAAGAAATCTGCAAGCAGCCTTCACTGGGAATGTTGTGTTGTTGGTGAGACAAGGACTTTGTCAGTGCTATTCTGTCACTGGCGTTTTGCTTCTTTGCACATATGCAAATACTGCTGTTTCAAGTGACATATAAGCATATATTAATATATATGTCCTTACATTGCATCTTGAAGGGGGTCAAGCCTCAGTATAAGAGAGCCTTAGCAAAACAAAGTATGGTTCAAGAGATCGGAAGAGGTGTGGAACGCATCCTGGACCATTCAGCCACATTACAAGGCTTGCAAACAAAGGAAGAGAATGAATAGGAGCAAAGCCTGCATCCTTGCATCGCTTGGGATGTGAGATGCCTTGGTGTGGGGGTTCAAACAGTGTGGAATAAACATTAAGCAACTTCTAGTCCTGTAGCCAAAAAAAGACAAACATATAGGACACTATCTAATCCTGCTACAGTGCTAGAGCTAATGATGCTGCGCTGGCATAAAACAGCACTAAGACAACATCATTAGCGCTTGGCATGAAAAGGCAAAAAGCAAATGATTTATCCCGGAAATTCATCACACCACCCAACTTTCGTGGCAAATGACTTTTTCCCTTTGCTTAGCAAATGCTAATGACAATGTGATAACATTTGTTTACACCGATGCAACATTGATAGCACTAACACACTGGTTACTCTCCATGATCTGCATAACTAATCCAGGGTGCTGATGATGAGAACTATTGCCTATAAAACCAGAATGAATTCAGCAGTGAAGTGTAATCATCCTGAATACATGCTGGGCTCCGAAAGCCTATTGAGGCTTTTCTGTTCCACACCTAGAGAACCCATTCTCATGCACAAGCCTTTCTTCATTAAAAAAGTTAATAATGTAGGAGTATTCATGCTTCAGAGCCAACCCAGTTAGAAAGGTCACTTCACTGAAAATGTATTCTCTCAGCTTCTAATTAGCTTCTGTATTGCACTAGATTACTTTCATGGGAGCCTGAGTGATATTTATGTCATTACCAATCGTTACTGTATTTTAAAAGTTGTGATTAAATTACAGTCCTGGTTTCCCCAAGACTCCAATATGCTTTAGATTTTTGTTTAAGGAAAAAATTGAAGAATTGCTTTTACCATTTCTTTTCCTTACATTGACAGGGTTGGACACATTACTTAATTACTTGATTGGCAGGTTCAGAAATTAAACTGAGTCCTGGTCTGCATATTACATAGAAACAGGAAGAGTAAAGTGTACAAACATCACGCTCTCTGCTTCTCTTGCAGAGTACTCTGTGATGAGTCACTAATCTCAGCTCCAGGGATATGCATGAGCCCAAAATGGCCTCTGGAATCTCATCACTTGGAAGATCAGCACTTTATGTAATATAGTAAGAAGAGGAGAAAAGAGAAAAATGGACTACCACTTCTTTCTCGGCTTCTGTGAAATAAGTGACTAAAGCAAAGAAAGAGACTATAGTGAAGAGACATTTAGGAAGAAATGTCTCAGTATTTTCTGTTTATTTTAAAAGCAACCTGAGAATTAAGCTGCACAGTCTCTGCCTGTAACTGGGTTTATATGTCAAAATCTCAGAGCAGTACATAATCGTTATCAGGCCAGACATCTCTCCTGCTCTCATTCCCTGGCATGTCTGGCGTCAGCCTTTCTATCAGCATTTATTAAACTATATTTTCCAATGAAATTGCAGTTTAATAGCTATTTACAAGTCAGGCAAAAGCATGGTTCATAGACCTAGATTGTACTGGGTCTACAGAATCACAAAACAGTAGGGTTGGAAGGGGTCAAGAAGGCCATCAAGCCATCAGACAGCTGTCCAGTTGCATCTTGAATACCTCTTGTTGAGAGAGCCCACAACCTCCCTATGTTATTGGTCCCACTGTCATACAGCTCTGACAGGAAAATTTTCCTGATACCTCACCAGAATCTGGCTCTCTGTAACTTGAGCCTATTGTTCCATGTCCTGCACTCTGGGACAATTGGGAAGAGATGCTGTCATTTCTTTCTGTGACAGTCTTTCAAGTACTTTGTAGAGTGCTATCATATCTCTCCCTGGCCTTCTCTTCTTGAGGTTAAACATGCTCAGTTCGTTCCATCTCTCCTCACAGGGCTTTGTTTACAGTGCCTGGATCATCCTTGTTGCCCTGCTCTGAACCCTTCCAACTTGTCTTCATCTCTCTTAAACTGTGGTGCCCAGAACTGGACACAGTACACCAGATGAAGCCTAACCAGTGCTTTGTAAAGGGGGACTAGTACTTCATGGGATTTGGAAATGATACTTCTATTTATACAACCTAAAATAGCATTTGCCCTTTTTGCAGCCATATCACATTGTTGACTCATCTTCAGCTTGTGATCTACAACAATTCCAAGATCCTTTTCACTTGCAGTGTTGTTGAGCCAAGTATTCTCTATCTTGTAATAAGTACTGTCATCATTTCAGTTTTCAAAACATAAAAAACAGTCTCATACCCCACCAACAGACTACTTATAGAACATGGTAAGTTTTTTGGGAGTGGCTAGAGAATTATTTTGAACTGGATAAATTAGCCCTTCTTGTACAAGATTGTTCATATGAAAGGCTAAGTATTTACTTGTTTTCAATGTATGCTTTTTATAGGTTAGATTTCAAAAAAGATGCTTACGATTTATTATTCTACATGATAGCATCATGCCACCTTGTATGTTTGTGACAGTGAGCAAATGAATTTGCACCTATATTGTTACTAAATCCACTTACGTATTAGTCAACACTTTTTACATACCATATATTTATTATATAAATATCATTAATGTTACATAAACACTTGCAAGATACTTACTTAATCTTCTCATATTTTCCGTAAGCCTGGAAAATGCAAAAGTACAACATATGATATGCATCTTTGAAGGAGGAAAACGTTTTTGCTTTCTATTCGTCTATCAGACACAAGAGTTGCTTCTAAATCTATTTAAAATGTACCATCTTACCTAAAACACTTTCTCAAAGGAATTTCCAAAACAAATATGCTATATTAAAATATGTGTGCATGTATGTGATGTGCGCTTATAAAATAAAAAGTGTGTGTTAAAAAGCCTTTTGAAAACTTACATGTTTATACAACCTTTATTTGACTTATAATAATACTATCAAGTACCATAAATAAATAGATAAATGCATTTTTGCTGATATTAATAAATTTTAGCATAAATGTTTAGCCTGGTGATTCTTCTTTTTAGTACTACTACTCCTATCCTACTGCAAACCTGTGTTGTGCTTTCTTTTATCTCGCATTTTTCATTATTCAAAAGACTCAGATAAGCCTTTATTAACACTTTGCTCATTGTTGCTTAATTATACTGATCACAATTCTTTCTTTTTTTCCTTTTTAGCACTCAGTATTATTTAAATAATAAAATGGATTTACCTCCTTGCACTAAGAGGTTCCTCCGTTTCTACTGTGTTTTCTTCTGGCTGAAATCGGAAGTCTTCAATATATTCCCCAAATTTGTCATAAACCCACTTCTGAACTCGTGAACATACCATATGGCTGCGTTTATCTAATGATGAAAACACATTACCATTACAATTACATTTCAACAGCCAGTTTAAAACAGCAACTGTGCAAGCAATCATTTTAAAGCACAGACAGAAGTCCTCAGATGACAACAGACGTGGATTTACAGATCTTGCAGTGATACAACATTGGGAGACAACTTTTTCTGGAACAAGAAGCTGTGGAAAACCTTTAAAGAGGAATCAGCATTACAGCTTACGGCAAACACACCCCAGAATGCCTGAAAACTAGCTGTGCTGGCTGGGTTTCCTGGGAATTGGCATTCAAAGCATCTGGAAAACACTGGGTTAAGGAAGGCTGACCTACAATAAAAGCCCAGTAGCTAATAAGATGGAGCTCTGCCAGCCATCTTGAATCTTGACATCTTGCCTGAGCTTCCAGTGATTGCAACATCTGGTGTTAATATCATACAAAACTTGGAAGAACATGTCCATTATTGTCAGTGCAAGTCCACTTATAAGAGTTTCTGTAAAAATCTGTGCTGTTAATACCTTCACTTTTGATTTTATTGTAGAGGACAGGAAAAATGTCTTTACTCCAGAAGTAATGCTTACATAACCAATGTTTATAGAGTCTAACAAGAACATCTAATCAGAAAATACAAAAGTTCTTTCCCATGCTGCCTCTGACAGACAAGAACATTTTCAGGTCCAGTAAAAGCTGCTTTGTGTTCACACAGTTTCATTCTTGCTGTTATACAGAATATTTTGCTTGCTCTTCTCTTTTTTACCTATAGAAGGAATGCCTTTACAGCAGCGTTTCCCAAACTGGCACTTTCCAGATCTATTGACTACAACCCCCATTGTCCCCAGCCACTGGGGAGCTCCTGTAAAGTATTCTCAGACAGGATCTGTGTTAAGTTATGACCAGTACCTCACACGGTATGTGAGGTTAAGTATTGAAATACAGGAATCTGTGCACTGGACAATGTTGTCCTTCTCCCTTCTTTATCTCTGCTTCTGCTTCATTCTGCCTTGGCTCAGCGCTAACCTGACAAAAAACAAACTTGCAGACAAAAATAAAATGCCAATTTTGTGATAGGGCATTTGCTTCATCCATGATATAAGGAAGTTATGTCTGGCAGTGACTGTACAAACCAGAGCAGTTTATTAGCCTCCAGTAAAAATGAAATGCCTGTGTTTGGTAAGCAAAGTATATGCAGTCACAGTTCACAAAGGATCAAATGGATTCTTCAGTTACATAGAAAAGCCTCTTTTAACTCAATGACCAGGTTCTCACAACACGACAACCCAGCAAAAGGTATCAGCTATCGTGTCTTGTTGCTGTGTCCAATCCTGACTTGGATTCAGCAGAGATTGGAATCACATGATGCAACAGATGCATTCATTGATTACATCTATAGTATTTAATATTAATGCAGATATTTTAAGAGAATCCTAGTGTTTTCCTTTTAAAAAAGACAACATCCAACTGAAATGTTAAAATCTTGGTTTTTAATTTTTGTTGAAATAATATAATTTTATCTCCCATGTCTACTATAATAGGAAATGACTTTGTAGCTCCCATGTCTCAAGAATTAACATAGAGAAGTGCACATTCAAACAAACATTTCATCTCCTAAGTGCAGAATTACTAGTAGCCCCTTTCCCCTCACCCATCTTTTACAGGACTTTTCCCACAATCCTCTGGTGGAGAGAAAACCTGGGCGGAATCATGAGGAGCGTTACGAACAACCTAGTACCTGTTCCATTGGCTTGTGCCTGTGCTTTCGGGGGCTGCTGGGCAGGAGCTGGCTCTTCTGCTCTAAAACAAACCAAAGGGAAGAAAAATGAGACCAATTTAGAACAGTACATCCACTGAAGAACAATGACAAAGATTTCCACATCATTCATATGAGTACTGGCTTTGGTAGAAGAGGCTCTGTATCTGTTTTTAGTATCCATCATAAAAATAAGAAATATGTGGAACAACTATTTTCTTGACTGATACAAACATGTTTAAAAACAAGATAAAAAGAGGGAGCTGACATGCAACACTGGCAGCCAAATTTGCAGTACAGGGTTACGTGCTTCTATTCACTTTCAGCAGCAAATTCTGTATAAGGGCCCTTCACCCACACCCAAATATTAAGTTAAGTGAATTCATTTCGCAGGCAGGCAGGCAGGCAGAACCTGTGCATTTGCACACAGATTTACAAGGAACAAATCAAATCTGCATTTCCTGCCAGCTCTAGGAACATAATTCTTGAACCAAAAGATGTTCTAGAAGTAGATTGTGCAAGACAAACGTAAAATCTTGTCCTTCAGACAAGCAGAAACCACTGTAACCCAGTAAGCCTTGGTCTGAAAAAAAAAGCTTTACAAGTTTTCTAAAATTCAAGAATGCCACTGCAGTTTTGAAAGAAATGAGGTCTTAGTACGCACTGATGTGCCATGTCTCCGTTGGTGTCTTTGTTTACCCTCTGTTTGTTAAGGTGCATTTGTGTCCTGCTTTATGTACATTTATGTGGCCTTAACAAGAATCCCTTGAAAGGGGAAGTTCTTCATCCAGGTCAGGTAGCAAGATAGGTGATGATAGCATTCTTGTAACGTTGGCCCAGAGAGTGTGAATGGAATGACTACACTTAGAACATTGCATTCAGTTCCGGTCACCTTACCCAAAAAGGGACATTATTGAGTTGTAAAAGCACAGAGAAGGGTGACAAAAATGAGGGCCTGAAGCCACCCTCCTTTGAGGAGCTGCTGCAACTGGGACTGTTCAGCTTACAAAAAATGGGAAGGGGAAACATAATAGAGGTGTTTAAAATGATGCACAGTGTGAAGTAGGTAGAAAGGGAGAGATTTTTCTCCCACTCTCACATCAGTCAAATGCAGGATCATCCCATGAAGCTGACTGATGGAAGGTTTCGGGCAAATTTATTTATTTATTTATTTATTTAGAATTTTTGTATGCTGTCACATTGCATAGCCTCGGAATGGCTTACATAAAATAAATAAGAATAAGAAAAATAAGAAATAAATATTTCTTTCAAATAAAAGAAAGCTTTTCTTCACACATTGCATAGTAAAATTATGGAATTTATTTATTTATTATTTATTTTATTTATTAAAACATTTTTCTGCCGCCCCATTCGCCGAAGCCTCGGGGCGGCTTACAACAAATTCACTGCCATGGGAAGTGCTGATGGCTTCCACTCTGGATGGCTTTTAAAGGGGTTTGGACAGATTCATGGAGGAGGAGATGGCTATCAGTAGCTACTAGTCTTGCTGGCTGTGTGCTACCTAGAAGCAGCATGCCTGCACATACCAGTTGCGGAAAAGCTTGGGGGCGGGGGGATGTCTTGCAACCAGCCTGCTTGAGGGATGCTGTGGGCAGCTGGTTTGTCACCATGCATACGGAGTGCTATATTAGATGGACCTTTGGTCTGATTCAGCATGGCTTTTCTTATTTTCTTATGTAACACAGTGGCCCTGGTTTGCATGTAACCAAATTTGTTGAAATCTGGCTTGCTAGGTCTGACACCATCCCCCCAAATAAATCATGATATGCTAACCAACTGCTAGAACCTGTGGTTTGTTGTTGGCTCACAAAGCCTGGCTTGTGACGTCTGGAGCCCAAACTGTTGCTCATCCCTGGCTTGATTGCATTGTTGTCTGCCCTGAAACAGACCTGTCCAGCAACAGTGGTTTGAACATGAAACTGTTCATTTGACAACATGCGCAGGGGAGGGAAAAAAACAGAGAAAGGCAAAGCTAGCTGTGCTTTATTTGCTCACCTGCAAGATGTTTCCTGGCTAAAGCAACAAGCCATGGTTAACAAAAACAATGACTGAGCATTGTGTACAGCCAGCACCATTAGTGATGTGCTGCCTGCCCTGAAACCAGAGCTGGAACTCTGAAGCAAAGTCTTTAATTAGGGACAATCTCAGAGAAGGTGTCAATTGCAAGATCTCTGTTCATGACATAACCTGGGACCTGTTGCAGAAATAAAACACGTCATGCTGCTGAAGCACTGTATCTGTTTAACATCTTAATTTCTGTTAATTGATAAAATGCCGCAGCTATCACGTAAGCCAGCTCAGGCTCCTTTGTGTTTAGTCACATGGCAATTTTAGTAGCGTGAAATGCCATTTAGAGCTGGTCATGAATGGCTAATGACATATAATTTTACACAGCAGCAAAGTGCAGGTTTACATATGCCTTCATTCAGCTCCAGCCCACACAAACACCCTAAGAGTCAGCGCCAAGCAATAACAAACAATTTCAGTTTTACAGCCAGTATCTGTGACAGGCAAGTTGAAAAAGCAAACCTGACCCAGGATGCATCTGTTTATTCCAGTGCTTTCTAAGCACAGCCCAGACATTTAACAAGGGTCTTGGGAAGAGACTGTGCTTGCTACACAGCAATTTGCTTTATTACATTTGTTTCAGAAATATCGCTCTTCCTACTCTCACTCCTCTCCAAAGATCCAAACTCTTCCCATTCAGTAGCATTGTGGTCACTAATATGCAAGCTAGCCACCTTAAACAACAGTGTGCTCTGCTATCAAGCTTCTGGGGAACTTAAATCTCTCCAAGGCTAAGCACCGGTCAGTTTATACCCAAGCACTCACTGAAGTATTTAAATAAAGTTTACCATTTCAAGGCTATTTCAGTCTCTAAGCAGCTGTGGAGGCAAACTCTGGCAAAAATGAGTTACCAGGGCAATGGCTCCCACATGGTGTGCCGAGCTCATTAGTGTGCCACAAAGGTGACTGAAACGGGATTTAAAAATTAAAGTGTCTTGAAAAATTAAAGCCGCCTTGTTGAATGCGCTCACTGCCCTATGACCAGTTGGAACCAGAAGGCTCTATCCAGCATTGACTTGCACCCTTTTCCTGCCAATCCGTATGGCTGATGGCATTGTCCTGGAGGTGAAAGAAACGGAACGCTGGCAGGGACAGGCAGATCTCCAGAAGTCTGGGACTTCAGCATCCAGAAAAAACTTGCCGACATGGCCGACAGCCAAGAATGCTGGGAATTGAGGTCTGATGATTCTAAGACAAACTACTCTATAGAAGAAACTACTAACCGAGCAAAGGGAAATGTGGGACACTGGAAGCCTAATGAAGAAAGATACCTGTCTGATCATTTTGGCACTGATTAGCACAATGCATGATTCATAGAAAAAAAAGAAAACAATAGCTGCATTCATTAATGTATTTTCAACCTTGAGGGAAAAATGGGGAGGGGGGGGAGAGAGCCCTAAAAAGGTTACAAGAAAAACTGCTCCGGTGTTTGTTTACAAATTAACAATATGCTTAGGAAATTGAGAGGTGACATGAAAGAGACCTCAATGTCCTTCCTTTCCAAAGCATATGCAACTTCACTCTCATCATCTTCCTATAGTCCTTCTATAATTTAAAATCTTAATGGGTTGTTAAAAATGTTCATCAACAGTAGCCATTCTGCTCACAATATCAGTGTTTAATAAGGTAAAAGTAAACTGTGGGGAAAAGCCAATTGAGAAGACGTTTAGGAAACAACCTTGAATATAAATTCTATATGCTTCTCTAATCTTGCATACAGCCAAAGGACAACATAAAAGCAAGTGATGAGGCAGAAAAAGAACAGAAATAGATGTTTCATGTGTTTATAGCAAACCATCTGGCCAGTTAAGAAACTTTCCAAATATCCTGATACTGGCACTGTTCCTGAACTCACAAGAACGAAGGAAAAACTGTATGGACGACCACTGCAGATCTAACAGTCTCCAAAAAACCACCATATCCAGCCATCAGGAATAGTTCGACTGATGTGCAGTACTGCATGGGACCACTTCTAATCTTGGTTACTGGTGCTCCAGAACCCTGCATTACAGCATGCTTGTTAGATTCACACATGAAAGAAATATTCCTAAGAATGACAAACCCTAGCTACAGAGGGTTCAGATCTCAGGGGCCTTGTCCTGTCCTAAGTTCTGCTGAGCTCTTGCCAGTGAGACAAGAGGAACAGTGAAGGAATTTTTTTGGCCTCTCCATTCTCCGAAAGCAGAAATTCTGTTAGGCTTCAGAGCCCATTTAACTTCTCCTCAGGATCAGGGTGAGGTTGGAGACTGGGACTGGCTTAGGCCAGTTTCCATGGTGCTTCCTCTATGAGGTTGGAGTTCGAGTGGTATTTCTAGATATTCCAATGGCCCTGGGAAGTTATCTAGAGACCACAGGATATCTCTGTTAAATCATGGATCACAATGGTCAAATTGGATCAGAAGATCTGAGTATTCAGGAAGCATTATACTTCCTCCAGCTTGGAGGACAGTTATTTGTTTAAGAATAATATTGTCCACCTTACAAAATGCTGTTTTCTTTTAGCAGCATACAGTTAAAAGCATCAGAAAAAACAATGCAACAATGATGAACAGAAAAACAATAAAAGTATACCATTACATCCAATTTGTTTCCATTTCAGAACGTCCTGGGCTTTAGTGGCTGGTTGCCAGTCTACTCCAAGCACTCTTGAATGAAACAGATTAGCTAGATTTATTTCAGCTGGACTTCAGACTTAGTCTGGGAATGGAACTGCCTTGGTCATCCAGTTGGATGATCTCTGCTGGAAGAGGGGCAGAGAGTATGACCCTGCTGATTTTCTTGGGACTCTTGGCAGCTTTTGAGGCCAAGGAACATGGCATCCTTCTGGGCAGGTTGTTTGAACTGGGAGTTGGAGGCACTGCATTGCACCAATTCCACTCCTTATGTGGATGGCTAATTCCAGAATGGGGGTCTAACGGCTCTCTGCCTTGGCAGCTCAGTGCCTTCCACAGGGCTCGACCTTATCCTCATACAGGTCAACATTTACGAGGGTGAGTGAAAAATTATCCGCACTCCAGTTATATTAACACCTCTGTTGGACACACTGTCTTACCAGCACTTTCTGTTCAAGGCTACTGTCTCCCCAGTCACTGCTGTGCAGGTGTGAACATGTTACATCAGTTCATTTGCAACTGATGTACATGGATGCCCCACTTGTGATTTGCACAAAAAGAGCAGCATGCAGTGATTTGTTTTTTGTGGTCTGAGAGTGTACCTGGTGCCGTTATTTATGGAAGACTTTGTGCACAGTATGGAGCAAGTGTTTTGTCATGAAGAAATGTGTATGAATGGATAGAGAAGTTCAAGGAACGTTGCACAAGGGTTAGCCATCAAGAAGGAGCTGGATGCCTGTCCGCTTCCACGGCTGATGACAACACTGAGCGTACATGTGCAATGATTCTGTCGACACTCAGCAAAACATCGTTTTGAGGTGTTAAAGCATCCTTACTAGACTCCTGATCTTGCTCCATCAGACTTTCACCGGTTTTGTCCCCTGAAAGCAGCCCTACGAGGATGAAGATTCACTTCTGATGAAGAAGTGAAGACAGCAGAGCATTCGTGGCTTGCAGCTCAGCCTAAAACATTTTTTAATGAGGGAATACAAAAGCTTGCTGACAGATGGACAACGTGTATTAAAAGCACGGAGATTATGTCGAAAAATATGTCTTTTCTAAAAGTTAATTAAAATAAATTCTACAGCCAGAGTGTGGAGAATTTTTGGCTCACCCTCGTACATGAACCTGTTGGAGGTTACAGGGTACAGGCTAGGGTGTCTTCAATCTGATAACAACATTCAGCTTGCTGAATGTTTGCCTTTTGTTTAACCCCAGATGAGTCAGTGACTGGGTATGGAAATGGCCTGAATAAGGGCCAACACAATCCAGACAAGTTGGATGTACTGTCAGTGGGTGATTCACCTGCCTGAACTAGTAATATTTATCCTATTCTGGAGGGCACTGAATTCCCCCTAAAATATCAGGTTCATAGTTCGGGGATGCTCCTGGATACAACACTGTCAGAATAGGCACAAGTGAGCTCAGTGGTATGGAGCACTATTTATCAGTTTAGACTGATATAGCCACTGCATCCCTACGTGGGCAGGGATAGCCTAGCTTCAGTTATCCATGCCCGGCTAACCTTTGCCTGGATTACTGCAATGCATTACATGTGGGAATGCCTTTTAAAGGGGTCCAGAAATTTCAATGGGTCCAAAGCAGCACAGCGAGATTGTTACAGGAGGCTGGCCAATCCAAGAATATTATGCTGGTATGTTTCCATCGGCACTCGTGACCAGTTCACATCCAGGCCCAATTGAAAATGCTGGTATTAACATCCAAGGCCCTAAAGGGCGTGGAGCTAAATTACTTGAAAGATTGTTTCTTCCCATAAATACCTGCCTGGACCCAAAGGTCATCACTTTCCCTGGGAGCCTCTACCAAAGGAAACAAGGTGTGTTGCTACTAAAAGGAGAGACTTTTCTGTTCTGCCACCCTGATTGGTGAAGTTTCCAAGAAAAGTCTTGCTGGGCACCTATATTGTGTACTTTCTGATGCTAAGCAAGGACTTTTCTATTTTCCCCAGACATTTTAGTCTTTCAGTTTCTGATGCTTTCTATTTGTTGCTGTATTTTAAATGTTGGCACTGCTACTTTGTTTTTTCTTCTACTTTACAAGGTAGTTTCAAATTTTTATAATGTACCCTATGTTGTATTTTTTCAGTTTCTGTCCCACCCAGAGAGCTCCAATTATTGAGCAATATATAAATTTAATAAATAAATAATTCCAGGCCTAAAACACCAGACAGCTAAGCATGGATATAAATATAATGGACTAAATCTTCTCCATCACATCATTACATTCAGACTTTTTCTTTATTTCAACTAGCCAAGAGTGCCATAAATTAGGGTCACTACTGAAAAGGCCCTATCAAGCTAATCTCCCATCTTGTCATGCATACAAGCAGCATCCAGGTAAGGTTGGAACTGGCAAATCAGCTTAGGCTCCTAAATGGTGCTCTGAGTCACCACTACTCCCTGCTTTTTCACAGACAGTACTGACTTCAGGAGCCCTCTGCAACCCATCCAAACCAGGCGAACCCTGCTGCCCGGGACAAACAGCCCTCCAACACATATAAACACCACCCATTCCCAGGCACAAGTCTATCACCAGGCCAACCAAGACTGTTTCTGCTTCCATAGTTAGACTAGAAACCAGACTGAGATGGATCGAAATAACTGCTTTCTTCCAATACTCCCTGGAGCTGAGATTAACACCTTACTCAAGACTGGAACATTTGAAAATGGGCAATAATTGTCAAAGCAACAAAATCCAATTCTGATCCCCACTTCCACCCAGTGTCTTCACTATTGCCTTTTAAAGGCAACAGGGATTACAACTTCCCTGAAGGAAACATCCACCATGTCCAGGGTCCACACAACAAGCCCAGACCTGGAAGATTTCACAAGCCAGGTCAGAAAATAGGCAGTAAGCCTCAGTATTCTAAGTAGCTTCTCCATGTCCTGAGGCTGCACAAGTTGAAAAGTGCCCAAAACAACATGGCCAGGCTGCATTCATCTCAGACCTTGTTACAATGCAACAAGTGCAAGCAAATTCATCCGCAAACTGCAATGCAAACTAGTCAAAATAGTCCTCTGAGGACTCCATCAACTGATTCATAGACTCCTTTGTCACTTCGATGAGATCTGCTGGCCAGCATTTTGCAATAGGGCATAGAGGTAAAGTCTCTTTGCAAGAAGAGTAGTAGTAGTAGAAGAGCCCTACAAAATTTTCTTGCTTCTGTTCAGTTATGTCCATCTTAGCTCATAGAGCATCTTGAACTGAAGGCTACAAGCCAAAATCACAGCTAGCAGCTATAGCTGCGAAAACTAACAAAACATTTTACTTTATACCAACAGTCACAATGTGGAGATGTCTGCCATGCCTCTCTGGAGAAAATATTTCACTGTTGTGATACCTCTGCCAAAAGGTCTTAGTCCAAACAGCCAAAAGTTTCAGTTTTCATGGATATGGGGCACACAAAATAAAAACAATCACAGACTTGTATGTAATACTTCTGTGTGCACCATGTTATAAAGCTAGAAAGTGGAGGCAAGAGTGGAAATAGCAAAATTAAACTACAATCTCCAGTTTGACAATAAGGCACTGCTAACAGTATTGAGATGTGATAAAAATAGCTCACAGCTTGTAAAACATGGTGGTGACAGAATGCAATTTGCAGCAGACAAACAGCCGATCGGACCATTTCAAATCGTTTAGACATTTGTTCCACTGGCAAAGTGCCTCCTGCAGCAGATGCTACACTAAGTACAAGGCACTCCCTGAGCATCTTCATGGAGAAGCCTACAAGACAGAGGCCACTGTGCTGTTTGGTGTTTCTTCTTTATTATGGGCATGACAGAAATAAAAGGAAAGGAATTCTTCCCACCTTACCTCTTTCATCCATCCAATACTTTTATGTCCTGCTGTTCAAAGATAATAATTCACAAAATGGCTCACCAATCCCAAAGAAATGAGATATAAGCACATATAAATATACAGTGCTATCAAAATTGAGGAAATTAAGATACATTTGAGGTTGCTGAAAACAGAATACATATATTAACTACTTACACAGAAAGGGTTAGTCTGAACAAATGTGTTATTAAAGTGTTCTTAAAGGTGCAAAGCAGAAGCAACAGCAAGTGTGTTTCAGAACTGAACTACATTCCACTGTCATATAAATACGTCTAAACACCTTTCAGCATTTGCAGAAGCACATTTGCTCTGATGTCCCTCCACCTGCGTATGTGATGAACAAAAGGATCAAAGCCTGAGGGACCTCAATTGCAGGAAGCTGTTTCTCCTGTGCTCATTTTGCAAATTTGTTGTCTGTCTGTCACTCATGCCAGTTTGATAGGCTCAGCTTTCCAAGAGCTGAACCGCAGTAGCTTCAATCAAGCTCTTCTGGAGCTCAAAAAACCACCATATCACAGCAAATAGTTATGCCCACTAAAGAAATGACATTTCCACGCAGGTCTGAGGCTTTATTTTTACTCAATGAACATTATACAATAGGAACCAAAATCAATACCCAACCTCATGCTGCAAGAAGGAATGGGAATCTTTTAATAAATTGGAAAGACATTTAGTACTCAATAGTAACAAAAAATAATTTCACTACTACAAAATCCACTATAATAATCAATTTTCCACTCCATTCCAGAATTAACCAACATTAGATTCTCTTAACCTTCATTCACCTGGTGCCAACTCTAAATATAGCCAGTCCTCTCTTCTGAAACACCACCCTTGCAGCACTTTTTATAACATATTTCCCTTACCTTGTTTTAAGAATTTCATTGACTTTTTGTTCCAGTTCTATCCTCCTCAGACGTTCTTTTTCTAGCTCTTGTTTCAATGTTTCAGCATTTGTCTCTTCTCTCAGCTTCCTGAGTTCCTCCTCTGTTAAGAAGGGGAAAAAATAGGAGGGTTACCCTGATTTCAGACACTAAAACTGGTTGGGAACTTAATGTCTGTGAAGGTTGCTGTTCTCTCCATCTCCACCCATGCCTACCCCACAAGTTCTTTGCATCACAGTTTCAGGCTCTGGGCTCACCATATCCTTCCACTGTACAGGGAAAAATAACTGAATGGGTGGATTATCATGTTCCTTCACTGGCATGGGGAAATGAAATTCTCTTTAACCTGCAAGCTTACTGTATAATCTGGATTCCTGCTGAGAACAAAGGCTATGCAGCTCAAACTGTAGCCCAAAGGGGTACGCCACCCTGAATTCAGGGTGGCCTCGTGCATGTTTTCAAAGCAACAGTACTCAGACACTGTGATTTGCCCTGCCCTGCCAACAGCACCATGCAAATTGTATGATGCCTTTTATTCACCCCGTTCCCCACTGATCCTTATGCAATTTGTTCTTGTCCCATTGCAATATTGAAAAAGCTGTATCCTGTTCAGAAGCATGACAAAACAGTTAACTGGAGCCCTATTAGGATAAACGTGATGGAACATTTCCTCCATTTCCAACCTCCTAAAGGGAACACAGGTAAGGTTCTCAGTGGAAAAGTTTCATATAAGAACATAAGAAAAGTCATGCTAGATCAGACCAAAGTTCCATCTTGTCCAGCAACACACTTGATGGCAAACTAGCTGCTTATAGAATCCCTCAAGCAGGATGGGTGCAAGAACTCTGCCTGCCCAAACTCATCAGTAACTGGTATATGTGAGCTTGCTACCACTGGTAAAGGAGGTAGCCCATAACCAGCAAGGCTAGTAGCCAAGAACCTGCCCAATCTCCTTATAAAACCATCCAGATTGGCAGCTATCATCACTTCCCGTGCCAGCAAATTCCATAGTTGAACTATGTGCTGTGTGAAGAACTTCCTTTTATCTGTCCTAAACCTCCCACCAGTTAGCTACCTGGGATGACCCCGTATCTTCTAATTCACCTTCCCTACATAAAGGACTCAGAGGGTATCTCAGAGAGCCTGCTGAGCGCACAAACAGCTCTGTTTGCCACATTTTATTTATTTATTAAAACATTTCTATGCCGCCCCATTCGCCGAAGCCTTGGGGCGGCTCACAACATAAATTAAAATACAAGAGATAACAGTATAAAATAAGTCGCCCTGGCCAGATAAAATAAGCAAATAATATTAACAATTAAAATGACGCTTAATTAAAAAGGTCTTCGCCTGGCGCCGAAAAACAAATAACAACAGCGCCAGGTGGACCTCTCTGGGGAGCGCATTCCATAGATTGGGCGCCACCGCAGAGAAAGCCCTCCTCCAAGTACCTACCCTCCTAATTTCTTTCATGGAGGGTTCCCGGAGAAGGGCCTCTCTTCCCTTCTCTTCATGAGCTGGGTCGGTCAGTTTGGTAGGCCAAATTTGGCCCACTGGTTCCTCTTCCCTGCCTGAGGTATGCTCAGAAGTGTTGCTTATATTGATCAAACTGTATGCAATAGAAATAAACTGATACAGCAGTTTTCATTATGGGTAATATGATTTTTGGCAGATACAATATTTATCTACCTACTTCATTCCTATACTACCCAACTGCTAAAGCCATTAACAACTTAAAAGAGCTAAAATACAATGTAAAATATCTGGTAATCATTTAAAAGTTTAAAACTACAGCATAAAATAAAACTAAAAGTCAAAGTAAAATCTAATAGTCATAGAGAAATCTAAAATACAGTAAAGGATTTAAAACAGGAGAGATGCAAGGCTAGAGTTCCTAGGGAAATAAGGTCTTCACCTGGCACTTAAACAGAGATCAGCACAGGTGCTAGGTGAGCCCCTCTGGGTAGTCTGTTCCACAACTGAGGTGCCACAACAGAAGAGGGCCTCTTCTTAGCAGCCACCTGCCTCCCTTCCTTCGGCAGGTGCTTCTGGAGAAGGCTCCACTGGGGATGATCACAGAGACTCAGCAGATATGTGAGGGCACAACCCTTCAGGCAACCTGGCCCAAGCCATTACTACCATCACTTTGAATCATGCTCAGACATGTAGTGGCAGCCAGTATAAATTGCAGGGTCCTGGCCTTATATGAGCACCCCAGCCAGTCCTCATTAGCAGTCTTGCTGCCCTATATTAGACCAGTTTTAAAGTTACCAGACCATTTCCAAAGGCAGCCCCACTTATAACACATTACCATAATCCAAACAAAAGGTTGCCAGAGCATGAATAACTGTAGCTAGATAAGGATGCTGTGGGTATATCAGTCTGAGTTCCATGCCCACATGTCTGCAGGAACAATGGAATTCTTTGTCACACAGTGATGTATGTATGCAGAGCACATAGGCACTCATAATTAATTTATGTTTGAATAACAAATGATATGAAGGAGCAGGAAGACAACTCTAAGAGTAACCTACCTCCACAGAAAAGCTTGTGGGCGAGTTCTTTACCTTTAGGCAGTACACTTTATCACTCAGAAAATATAGAATTTTATATCTCTGTGTCAAAAATCTGCACATTAGGTGCCAAAAAAATCTAGCTTCAAAAGCTACATTTGCAAGTAATATTAAGCCATGGTTTATGTTAACTATGGTTTGTTGCTTTTCTTGTGAATTGTCCTGCAAATGAGTAAATATGCCACAGTTTGTTTTCCCAATTTCTGGTTTGTCTCCTTCCTGCCCATTCGGCAACATACACAGCAATTTCATTTTTATACCACTCTTGCTAGATGTCTCTTTTTCAAGGAAGACAGCAGTGCAAATAAGCCAGGGTTAAGCCATGGCACTGCATCTGAACATTGAGCCATGGCATATATATGCCAGATTTCAACAAACTATGCCATGGCTTACTGTGAACCAGGCCAATTGGATCTTTCCAATTTCAGCAAAAACCTAGCACACATGTTTTTAAAAAAATCTGACACCAAAACTAGAACTAGCACAGCTTCAGCATATCATATTTTAGGTTAGCACACGAAAACCTGTTGTGTAGGTCCATTGCAGTGTATGAGCATAACAATTACGTGACATTCCTTCTCCCCTTTATTATGGGAAGAAAAAAGTTCTCTCCATGGAACAAAGAGGAAAGCTTTTGATGCCAGTGTGGCATCAGAATAATTACCTTATACTAGTACAACAAACCCTAGGATGACTCAAAATGATTTTCCATTTCTTTGTACCCTTACTTTTCTCACCCACCTTCATAAGCCAAGTGCCTGTACAAACAATTCTTAAAGGTCATTAAAATAAAATGAAGTTAAAGACAGAGGAGGCTTTCATGAAGCTGGCACAAACACTGGACTAAGTTAACCTACTGCCCCATCATTCTCTACACCTTGAACATGGTAAACTGCTGTGTTATTCATGTGCAGGAAGAGAGGGCAAGACCGACTATTTTCTAAAAACAGCAAAGAATTCTGAGCACAATTTTAAAGTACAGCGTATATCTCCCCTTAGCAAGAGCCTTCTGCAGCAGATGCATCTGAGCTTTCTGTGTGGCCTATGGAATATATAGGTATGCAATTCTCACAAAAATGTCTCAAATGAGGCACTCATTACATTTCAGGGGCGCTCCATCTGACTATTCTTCCAATGTGACATCCACAGGGAATTGAATCTCATGAAAATATTCGGTGCATATTTGATTCCTAGTATCACAAAAAGTTGTTGGCTGTGTCTAAAGATAACACAATCTGAAATACCAGTTGCTGAGGCCAAGGTTAGAGTCCTGAGCTGGGAATCTGGAAACCTGTTTTCTAATCCTCCAGTTTTCCAGGTTACTTTGGGCCATTCACTGATTCTCAGACTAACCTACTTCACAGAGTTTTGTGAAGATAACATGGAAAGAAGGAGAGCCAAGTATGCTACCTTGGGTTCCTCGGGATATAAAAGTAACAAATAAAGTTACTTTTATTTACACTTCCTGGACTAATGATGTACAGACTAATTCCTGTACATATTGTGATTCCACTATCTGCCAGAGTTTTGCCCTTCTCCAAACATTGCGAAATAGTTCTCAGTACAAAAATTACAACAAAACTTATCTGGAGAGAAAGTATGTCCAGAAACACATGCGCCAATGCAAATGTTCGTGCAGTAGAATGCTTTTAAAGCTGCAGATTAATGCAGGAATAGTACAACCAATTTATTAGTAATCACATGAGAAAGTGACACAGCCCTACCCTACCTCTAGAAACAAATGCCACATTCACTACTCTGTTGTGGGCACACAGCCATCTGGCCAACTAGCACAGGACAAAGTTCCTCCATGCCTTTTCCTGCTGTGAGTTGAGGAAGCAGAAGGGAAACAATTGAGGTGCGGCAGAAATGACTTTGCTGGTTGCATTTACAGGCCTTTTTTCTATGAAAAGTCGCAGAGGACTGTGCTTTGGAACTGACAGAAGATTTTCACAGCATTGAGGCAAGACAGAGCACAGAGAGAACAACTGAATGTTACTTCCTTCCCCAGCTAAAGCAGCTGCTCCTTGAACATATTTGCATACCTGTGCATTTTCCAAGTGGAATGATAGATGCTGAGTAACTAACCTTCAATGAACCTGCTGGAACTGAGCCCATAAAGTTAAATTTAAAGTATAGCAGTATGTTGTGCTTGCACTGGCCACATCGAATAACAAAGCTATTGGCAACTTTAATGCCGTCAGCTGATTGTAAAGATAAATGCTGCTATTTTTGTGTGTAAACGTAAGTCAGAAATAGGTTTACTAAGTCCATGTTAATTATGGCAAATCCTTTTACAGCCTTTTTCTAAAATAGCATTTTAAATCATGTGCATTGTATAATTAGTACTGAGCTGAGTGATCAGACCTCAGTTGCAAACAGTCCAACTGGTCCATGTCAACTTTATGGGTAGGAACCTTGTCTGCAGATGAGCATGCATTCACTAGCTTAGCCAAAATTATTTACCTCCCTAACTAGCAATTAACATTTGTGACGAGACTAACATACATATAAGGCTGCTTCAGACATA